TTTTGAATTGGCAATGAACCTAGGATAGGGAGTTTTTCCACAAAGCAGAAAATACCAGGGTATCCAAGAATATCCCATGTACAGATCCAGGTTTAAAAAAAAAAAAAGCCAAATGGCAAAGTACTCTATGGTGGTTGGGTTTTTCTGGAGGTTGGATGACAGTGGAAGGTGTCAATCCCTAGTTCCACAGGTGTCCCTGGTGACGTCATAAGCTTTCTGGCAGTTCTGATTGGGGAATTGTACTAACCTGCCTGTTTCTAAAAGTACTTGACATAGGCCACCACCCTGAGAAGGAATCAGTCAGAGATGGACGAAGCATTTAAATTCGGAGAGTAAAGAACCTCCCCAAGAGGGAGTGGAACCTATCAGATTCACGAAACCCTTTCCTTAGGTGTGGCTGACAGCCTTGGCTGAGAGAGAAACATATTCTGCATCTAAGAGCGCCCCAACCCTTGGCATGCTCAGGACAGAAGGAAACAGCCCTGCAACAGGCTTTCCAGCTCAAGGAAGATGGATCGTGCTGTATCTTTTTTTTTTTTTAGATTTATTTTATTTATTATGTATACAGTGTTCTGCCTGCATGTGTCTTTGCAGGCCAGAAGAGGGCACCAGATCTAATTGCAGGTGGTTGTGAGCCACCATGTGGTTGCTGGGAATTGAACTCAGGACCTCTGGAAGAGCAGCCAGTGCTCTTAACCACTGAGCCATCTCTCCAGCCCCGTGCTATATCTTAAGGCTTTTCTGTTGCTATGTTTTGTAGCCTCATCTGTGAAGGAAACTCACCCAGTGTTCTAGAGTGCGCTGACCTTTGACACTCGAAGGACAGAAGGAAATGATCTTTACAACAGATAGCACCAACTTGAAGACCTATTTCTTAGGATGTACCGGCTTGTTCTGTTCCCAGAGGCTTTTCCTCCTGTACTTCCTCGTCTTTGTTCTCCCTGATAATAATCAAGTAAAACATTTGATTTCCTTCTAAACATGGCTCAGTGACTACAGTGTCTTTGTATGCAATTGCCTCTAATAAAAGCACAGCACTGGAGACAGTCTGGGTCCCTAGAGAGTCTCCCATGAGCCACGGTGCTTAGCTTGGCTGGGTCCTAATTCTGTTCCTTCAGCCCACAGTCTCCAAACTAGTTCTTCTTTTAGATAGAATATTCCTTCTTTTTTCTTCTTCTTCTTCTTCCTCCTTCTTGTTTCTTTTCTTTTCTTTTCTTTCTTTCTTTCTTTTTTTTGTTTGTTTTTCGAGACAGGATTTCTCTGTGTAGTTTTGGTGCCTGTCCTGGATCTCGCTCTGTAGACCAGGCTGGCCTTGAACTCACAGAGATCCACCTGGCTCTGCCTCCCGAGTGCTGGGATTAAAGGCGTGCGCACCACCCCTGGCTTCTTTCCTCTTAAGACTCCCTTTGTTCTCTGCTTGCTATCTGGCCCCAGTGCCCTACTGATTTCCCTGTACCCTGAGTACTCTTGCTTTTGTTTCTAGTTTCCAGTTACAGTGAATAGACAGGCGACAGTAAAGAACAGGCTGGTGTCATCTCATCCCATTTTTTTAAAAAGCTGTTTTTTCTGCTTTCTATATTTGTCTTAGTTACTGTTCTATTGCTGTGAAGAGACATCATGACTGGGGCAACTCTTATTAAAGGAAGCACTTTAACTGGGAGCTTGCTTACAGGCCAGCTTCAGAGGGTTAGTCCATGATCACCATGGTGGAAAGCAGACAGTGATGGCACTGGAACAGTAGCTAAGAGCTTTACATCTTGATCTACAGGCAGCAGGTAGAGAGAGATGATACCAGGCCTGGTGTGAAGGCAGAAGTTTCTGTCCTGCCAGAAACTCCCAAATACCCAGAAGCCGCTTCCCAAATTACCACACAGAGGCTCATATCAATTACAAAGGCTCAGTCATTAGTTCAGGATTATTACTAACTAGCTCTTACACTTAAATTAACCCATAATTCTTATCTATGTTTAGCCATGTGGCTTGGTACCTTTTCTCAGTACAACATTCTCATCTTGCTTCCTCTGCGTTTGGCTGGTGACTATCTGATTCTGCCCTCCTTCTTCCCATCATTCTCAAGTTTGGCTTTCCTGCCTAACTTCCTGCCTAGCTACTGGCCAATCATCATTTTATTAAACCAATTCGAGTGACAAATATTTACAGTGTACAAGAGGATTATTCCACAGTGCTGCTGTGGACTTTTAAAATCTCAAAACATACCCCAGTGACACACCCACCCCAACAAGGCCACACCTCCTAATTCTTCTCAAACAGTTCCTTTAACTGGGGACCAAGTATTCAAACATATTGGACCTATGGGGGCCATTTTCATTCATTTCATTCAAACCACTACAAAATTTGCTAGATTATAGGCACCAAATTAAAATATATAACAGTTGTGTTGACAATAAGCCCATGGAGGAGATACAGAGGACCCTCTGCCTAAAATAACTCTCAATAGCTACTCCAGCCTCAGTTTTTTTTTTTTTTTTTTGTTTGTTTGTTTTTGTTTTTTGCGGCAGGGTCGCTCCATGTAGCCCTGGCTGTCCTGGAACTCACTCTGTAGACCAGGCTGGCCTCAAACTCAGAGATCCACCTGCCTCTGCCTCCCAAGTGCTGGGATTAAAGGTGTGCACCACCACCTGGCTGACACTAAAACTTTTTATGTGTGTGGAAGTTTTTGTCTGCATGCATGTCTGTGCACCACATACATGCAGTACCTGCAGAGGCCAGAAGAGGGCATTGCCTGCCCAACTGGAGTTACAGATGGCTGTCATTGCCTTAGGAATACTGGGAATCCAACCTGGGTCTCCTGAAAGAGCAGCCAGTGCTCTTAACTGCTCAGCCATCTCTCCAACCCTGATACTAAAACTCTTAAGATTTAAAGCTTAATACACTGATAGCAAACCTCTGCTTATATCAATGGAGTTATTGGTTTGCTCTTTCTGATAATTGCAGAGACTGCCTTAAAGGACAAAAACATAGAATACAAGTTTGAAAGTGTTTGTTTTTTGTCCAAGTACGATCTAAATATTACACAGCAGTTAAAAGGACAAGACTGTGGGTGTGGTGGTGCACGCCTTTAATCCCGGAACTTTGGAGGCAGAGGCAGGTGGATCTTTGAGTTTGAGACCAGCGTGGCTTACATATCGGGTTTTAGCCAGCCATGGCTATACAGCAAGTTTTCTTTCTTTCTTTCTTTCTTTCTTTCTTTCTTTCTTTCTTTCTTTCTTTCTTTCTTTCTTTCTTTCTTTCTCTTTCTTTCTTTCTTTCTTTTTTTCTTTCTTTCTTTCTTTCTTTCTTTCTTTCTTTCTTTCTTTCTTTCCTTTCTTTCTTTCTTTCTTTCCTTCCTTCCTTCCTTTCCTTTTCTTTCCTCTTTCTTTCTTTCTTTTTTTTTTTTTTTGACAGGGTTTCTCTGTGTAGCCCTGGCTGTCCTGGCATTCTTTCTGTAGTCCAGGCTGGCCTCGAACTCAAAGATCCGCCGGCCTCTGCCTCCAGAGTGCTGGGATCAAAGGTATGCGCCATACTGCCCAGCGACCTTGTCTTAAAAAAAAAAAAAAAAGACAAGACCAGACCGGTGGACAAGTGTAACGGATCTTCTGGGTTTTCAATATTCATACTTGGAGGTCTATATGAATGTGGTCAGAGGAATTAAAAAGTTAGTATTTTGCCTCTTCTAAGGTCACCAAGGTCCCAGAGGACTGAGACATGGCTTGAAATGTCCTGCTGTCCAGGCAGGCATAGAAACCGCACCCAGTGGATTCTAAACCAGAGTCCAGTCTACAGAGGAGGGTTGTATTAGTTACCTTCCTGTAACTGATAAGACACCATGATCAAGGCAATTTATGGAAGAAAGAGTTTATTTTAGGCCGGGCGGTGGTGGCGCACGCCTTTAATCCCAGCACTCGGGAGGCAGAGCCAGGCGGATCTCTGTGAGTTCGAGGCCAGCATGGTCTACAGAGTGAGATCCAGGAAAGGTACAAAGCTATACAGAGAAACCATGTCTCGAAAAACCAAAAAAAAAAAACAAAAAACAAAACAAAACAAAAAGATCTAAATTCACTTTGGGGCTGGAGAAATGGCTCAGAGGTTAAGAGCACTGACTGTTCCTCCAGAGGTCCTGAGTTCAGTTCCCAGCAACCACATGATGGCTTACGACCATCTGTAATGAGATCTGGTTTCCTCTTCTGGCCTGCAGTCATCCATGCTATATACATAATAAATAAATAAGTCTTTAAAAAAAAAAAAAGAGTTTATTTTGGTTTACGGTTCCTGAGGGTTAGAGTCCATGATAGCCTGGGAGCATGGCAGCTTGAGCAGCAAGTTGAGAGCTCAGCCCATCTGCTTTGGTGCGCTTGCTAGCTTGGTTTGGGTCATGGTACACCCTGTTTACAGAAATGAATTGTTTTGTGGGGATACTTTCATTCTGTTTCTGTGTTTGTGTGACACTGATATATATATATATCTATATAGATATATATCTATATCTATATAGATATATATATTTTAATTCAGATATCTACCGTCTGCTTCAGCCTCCGAGCGCTGGGATGAAAGTGGTGCGCCACCACACCCAGTTTTGAACTTATATTTTCCCAACGATGGCTTGAAGTCAGGCCAGGCAACACAGCTGGAAACCTACAGTGGGGCTCCATAGTGAGTACGAAGCCAGGCTGCGATTCACGAGACCCTGTCGCCAAACAAACCACAACTCCCAGCAAAAATAAAACGAAAAATAGTGCTCTCCTTACTCTCTCACACCATGACACGCAAATGCACTCCCGGCCGGAATCGAACCAGCTCCCCGCAGTCCGCGGACGAGAGCGATACACTTCAGGCAGCCCGCCCCCCCCAACAGTACCGTCCTCTCTGTTAAACGCCTGTTAACAAAACGAAGCCACGCCCCCCACCTCTTCAACCAGGGCCGCGCGCGCGCGAGCAATTCTGTCCCTGCCGCGCTGCCGTCGCGCGCGGGGTCAGAGGGCACGGCGGCGTTTGTGGTGACGTGGTTTTCGGCTTTCACCCGGAAAGCCCGGCGTTCGCAGCGCGCGGAGCCGGCGTCGCGTCGGCGCGCTCCGGACTGTCTTGAGGGAGGGGTGGTGGTCACGTTGGCCCCCGCGGAGCCGCTCGCTGTCTGTCTCCGGAGCGGCGGGGAGGATGGTGCGGGGCAGCCCGGGACCCGCCGCGCGCCGCCGCGAGTGAGCAGGGCCAGGCCGCGGGCGTCCGCGGAGCCGCCGGTCTGTGAGGCGGTGAGTCGCGGACAGGGTCGGCGTCGGCATTAGCGGGCTTGGGGGCCGGGGCCCGCGGGCGGGCAGGCCGGGTCGGTGCGGGTCGGTGCTCAGGCTCCTCCGTCCACCTCGGCCCCGCTCACCTCCGTAGGAAGCTGGCCCTGGCCTGCGCCCTCCTCCCCAGGCTTGAGGCCTGCGCCCGGAGCCGGGGCTTATTGTGGTCTGGACGCGGCTGGGTGGAACTGCTAGCGTCCTTTAGAAAAAAAGAAAAAAAAATTCAATTTTGAAAAACTTAGAAATGTGTGTGTGTGTGTGTGTGTGTGTGTGTGTGTCTGTTTGTGCACGTGAGTGCAAGGACCGACGGAATCCACAAGAGGGCGTTGTGTCCCTCGAACTAGAGTTACACGGGCCATTGTTAGCTGCTTGATGATGTGGGTGTTGAGAACCTGGCTCTGGTCCTCTGGAATTGCAGGTGTTCTTAACCCTCGGAGCCATCTCTCCGACCTCCGTGGGTGCGTGTGTGTGTTTTCTGTGTTCCGTTTTAGTTTTTTTGACTTTGGGTGGTGTTGATAGTTGTCCCGTTGGAGAGGAGGTGGGAGGGGGCCACCCAGCTACACCAGCCCAAAACGGAGTAGTGGAATTCTGGGTGTTACAATCATAGGTATATTCGAGACAGGGTCTCATGCTGCCCGGGCTGGCTTGGAATTCCCTATGTAGGCAAGGCTTACTTACCTTCAACTATTGACCTTCCTGTCTCAGATTCACTAGTTCTGAGGTACACGTGTGTGCCACCCTGCCAGGCTTGATAGTGTGGGTAATAACGGTATTGTTTTTGGTTTTAATCTTCTGAGTCCTGGAAATGGGGGTCCCATGCAACCCTGGATAGCTCAAATTCTCTATGCAGGCTGACCTTGGACTCCTGATTCTCTTGTCTCAGACTCTGTAGTGCTGGGATGACAGGTGTGTACCACCATGCTGGTTAAGCTTGGCTAAAAAAAAAAGTTTTTTGAGACAGTCTTGGTGTGTAGTCCAGGCTAGCCTCAAACTCTCAGTATAGCTGGAAGTTGTGACTCTCCTGCCTCAGCCTTGTAAGTGTTGGGGTGATAGGTGTGTGCCACCAGGCCTTGTTCAAAAACAGAGTAGTGGTAGCCTGTGTGGCAAGGCTAGTTGGGGTCAATTCTTATCTGTCCTCATAGTTTAATACGGGAAATCAAGGGGTGATTTCCACATACTGTAAGGCATGCAGCTCCAATTCTCTGGATCCACGTGTGGGTTTAACATTCGGGAAATTAAGCCGAGGCCATGTCACCGCCCTGGAGCTTGTGCTTTCCCAGGCTGTCACTGGCTCCAGTCTTTGCTTTTGTCTCAACATGTTCAAGAGTGCATCGTCTTCTGCTTCGTGCTTCCTTTTGACCCTTCTTCCCTCTCGTGTTTAGTACTCTTCCTCCTTTATGCGTGCATCCGAGAAAACGTGGTCCTGATAGGGGAGGCAGGAGAGTATAGTGTAGGGATGGCGCACCTGCAGGATGTTTCTGTCAGTATGGAAAGTCTGTGGAATTCCAACTATGGGCCAGGCCTGTGGCACAGGCCTGTCATCTTAGACACTGGTGAACTGCCACTGGGGTCCTGGGATCCTAACCAGGTCCCCTGGAAGAGCAGCTGAGCCTTATCTTCAGCACCCCAAAACTTGTTGTTAATTGTGTGTTTATTTCATTTCATTTATTTATTTATTGATTGATTGATTGATTGGTTTTTTTGAGACAGGGTTTCTTTGTGTGACCTGGCTGTCTTGGAACTAACTCTGTCGAATAGGCTGGCCTCAATCAAACTCACAGAGATCACCTGCCTCTGCCTCCCAAGTGCTGGGATTAAAGCCCCCCCCCCCATCCCCCAAGTTTTTCTCTTCTTAATCTCATTTATGAATTCATAGAAAAACTGAGAGTTTTTAAAAGTCCTGATCAGGGGCTGGGGTATAGTTCTGTGATCTAGCATGTGTTTAGCATTTGTAAGACTGGTGTTCACCCCCAAACACCAAAACAAAGCTCTTAGTCTTCAGTCATTCCAAAATTCTTCAAACAGTGAAATTAGCATGAACAAGATTAATCAGATTATTTATGTCAACAGATTAAAAGGCAAATATTGATGGTTTAGACATTATAGATGAGGCATTCATTGAAATGTAGTATTTGGCTGAATTCAATAGATACATAGTAAGCAAGAGGTCTTGGGTTAAATACCCAGAACCAAGGTTGGGGGACGGTGGAAAGAAAGACATGGTAGCATGTCTATAATCTCAGCACTTGGGAGGTAGAGGCAGGAAGCTCAGGGTTCAAGGTCAATTTGGAATATAGGAAACCCTATCTCAGCCCTTTCCCCCATAAAAAAAGAAATAACATAGTGAAAATCTTTCTGTAAACTTAGGAGTAAGTATTTCCTTACCTTTGAGAAGTCTGTTGTAGTTTGGCTTCTGTTGCTGTGATAAATCACCATGAGGAAAGGGTTTCTTCATTTCTCTCTGGTCACACTTCATTGCTTGGGGAAGTCAGGGCAGGATCTAAACAGGGCAGGGACCTAGAAGCAGGAGTTGATGTAGAGGCCATGGAGGAGTGCTGCTTACTGGCTTGCTCTACGTGGCTTGCTAGGTCTGCTTTCTTAGAGCACCCAGGACCACCTGCTGAGGGATGGTACCACCCATAGTGAGCTGGGCCCTCCCACATTAATCACCAACCAAGAAAATGCACCACAGGCTTGCTCACTGGCCAATCTAGTGGGGACATTTTCTCAGTGGAAGGTCCCTCTTTAAAGGACTCCAGCTTGTGTCAAGTTGACATAAAACTAGCCAGCACAGCTTCCCGTCAGAAGCTTATGTTGTGTCCCAGATTTAATAGTGAAGCATTACAAAGCACTTTTGCTAAAGTCTGAGTGAGGCCAGAATTTTATTATAGCTACTACTATTGATATTTCATTTAAGTAGTTAAAAAAAGAAAAAGATAAAAGGATTTGAAAAGAAATATTACTAATGCTCTTGTTCTTGAACAGTGTAACTATCTATATGACATCCAAGAGAGATCACAGACAGCTAAGTTAGAATTTAAAATATTGGAGCAAAGTGTCTAGAACCAAGAGCAGTGGAGGCTATGGCTGTAACTCAGTGGTAGAGCACTTGCTTACCTTTACAAGGCAGATCAGTAGATAAAAGTCTTAATTGCATGAACTAATAATACTAATGTACTGTGTGGGTAAGAGAGTGCCCTGTAGCCTAGCCTGGTCCTATGTGTCTAAGGATAAACTTGAACTCATGATCCTTTTGTCTCTGTGTCTCAAGTGCTGATCTTAAAGGTGTGTGCCGCCATGCCTGGGTCTTGGGACCCAGGGCTTTGTGCATGCCAGGCAAGCACTCTGCCACCTGAGCTAACAGCTCTACCCTTCCCCTCCACTTTTTTTTTTTTTTTTTTAACATATGTCTCAGATTTTCAGGCTGACTCTGCTAGTAGCTGAGGATGAATTTTGATTCCTGATCTTCTACTTCCTGGGGTCACAGGTGTGCACCACCATGCCTGGCTCCTTTTAGTCTTGTAAATGAATTCATTGAGTGGGTATTCCTTAGACTCTGCTTTTTATCTCACAGTACTATTGTATGAAACTAGAGTGAGTGCTCCAGCTCCTGTGTGCAGACAGGCCACCAGTCACGTGCCGAATCTCTTGCAGGTTGCAGCTGATGAGAAGCATGTTCAGCATTAACCCCCTGGAGAACCTGAAGCTGTACATCAGCAGCCGGCCGCCCTTGGTGGTTTTTATGATCAGTGTCAGCGCCATGGCCATTGCCTTCCTCACCCTGGGCTACTTCTTCAAGATCAAGGAGATTAAGTCCCCAGAAATGGCTGAGGTACAGTGTACTCTTCATTTCCACTTGTGCTGGATGGACCTCATAGAGAAGTGGGGCACAGCTCTCTTTGATTTTCAAGGTCTCACTCTGTAGTCCAGTCTGAAATGTACTGTGCATTGGCTGACCTGGAGTTTGATGTGCTCTTCCTCCCTTAGCTTTGTGAATGCTGGGATTATATTGTGTGTGTATCACCACACCTGGAGGGGTTTGTTATTGTTGTTTTGAGACAGGGTCTCATGTGGCATACGCTGGTCTTGAACTCCAGATCCTCTTGTCTCTGCCTCTCAAGTGCGTAGAATACATGCAGCAAAAGATACATAATTATACAGAATTTCCTGCCCTTTTCCCTGTGACTACTTCGTTAGGGAATACCTAATAGTTGTTTTAAATAATAGGAGGTTCATGTAGACTATTGCAGTAGTGAAACAGGTCTATTTGGAAGAGTGTGTTTATATAAAAAACAACCAAGCAAATACCTGAGTCAGAAGAGGCCTGGGTATGGTGGTGTACTCCTGTGATCCAACACTGGGGACCTTGAGGCAGAAGTCTGAGTTCAAGGCTGTCCTGGGCCATGGAGTAAAACCTTATCTCCAGAGAGGAAGAGAGCGCGTGAGTTAGGGAAGTCACCTCTTCTGATAGACATGTTACATTGTTGTTTTGAAATTGTGACTAGGACACTTAAGGACACATACTACCTTTTGGTTTTCTCATTTGTACACATGGTATTTTTAGTAGATAAGGGATCCTATTGACTGACAGACAAGGGCACCAGATAGAAGTGGTCAGAAGGCATGGAGAAGGGGGGTGAGTGAGAACAAGGTATAATGAAATGTGTATGAAGATGCCATGCTGAACCCATAACCCTGGCAGTGGTGGTGCACGCCTTTAGTCCCAGCACTCAGGAGGCAGAGGCAGGTGGATCTCTGTGAGTTCCATGCCAACCTGGGCTACAGAGCTTGTTCCAGAACAGCCAGGGCTGTACAGAGAAACTGTCTCAAAACAAAAAAAGGAGTTCTAAAACCTAAAGAGATTTAAAAAAATTTTTATTTCCAATACAGTTTTTTTTTCTTTTTCTTTTTCTTTCTTTTTTTTTGGTGGGTTTCAAGACAGCCTTTCTCTGTGTAGCTTTTGGAGCCTGTCCTGGAACTCGCTTTGTAGACCAGGGTGGCCATGAACTCACAGAGATCTGCCTGTCTCTGCCTCCCCGTGCTGGGATTAAAGGCTTGAGCAGCCACCATTACCCAGCTATAAATACATAAATCTTAAAAAACGAAACGAAACAAAAAAGCTACTAAATGAGTGTGAATTAGTGATTTAATTAATGTGTCAACCTGTAGCTTGAGTTTTCCTGCCTGGCCCACAGTCAGGACAAATCTCTGTCACCCGCCAGTCCCGCAGCCTCTCAGACCCAACCAGGTAAACACAGAGACTTGTATTGATTACAAACTGTATGGCCGTGGCAGGCTTCTTGCTAACTGTTCTTACAGCTTAAATTAATCCATTTCCATTAATCTATACCTTGCCACATGGCTCGTGGCTTACCGGCATCTTCACATGCTGTTTCTCATCATGGCGGCTGGCAGTGTCTCTGACTCAGCCTTCCACTTCCCAGCTTTATTCTCCTCCTTGTCCCGCCTACACTTCCTGCCTAGCCAATGGCCAATCAGTGTTTTATTTATTGACCAATCAGCAACACATTTGCCATACAGAACATCCCACAGCAGTCAACCGCTTTTTTTTTCAAGATTCCTTTTTGTTTTTGTTTTTGTTTTTTTCTAGACTGGGTTTCTCTGTGTAGCCCTGGCTATCCTGGAATTCACTTTGTAGACCAGGCTGGCCTAGAACTCAGAGATCCACCTGCATGTGCTACCACCACCTGGCTGATAACTTTTTTTAATATTTAGTTGATGTGTATGAGTGTTTGCCTGCATGTAAGTATGTGTACTATGTGCCCAAGGAGAACAAAAGGCATATCGATACTCTGGCACTGGAGTTACACATGGTTGTAAGCCACCATGTGGGTGCTGGGAACCGAACTTGGTTCCTCTATAAGAGCAGCAAGTGTTCTTAACCACTGAGCTATTTCCACAACCCTCACAACCTTTTTAGTTTTGCCTTTATTTTATTTTTTTAAAGATTGATGTGTTTATTATGCATACAGTATTCTGCTTGCATGTATGCCTGCATGCTAGAAGAAGGCACTAGATCTCATTACAGATGGTTTTCAGCCACCATGTGGGTGCTGGGAATTGAACTCAGGACCTCTGGAAGAGCAGCCAGTGCTCTTAACCTCTGAGCCATCTCTTCAGCCCTATTTTGCCTTTATTTACTTTTATTTTATGTGTATAGCCACATTTATATCTACAGCATGTGTGTTCAGGGCCAAAAGAGGGTGTCAGGTCCCTTGGAACTAGAGTTAAGAGTTAGTGCTAACTGCCCTGTGGGTGTTGGGAATCTCTGGCAGGGCCATCTTATCTACTGAGCCATCTCTCCAGCCCCTCAAGATCCCTCTTTAAGTTTGATCTGAGGCTAGTTGGTTTTTCTCTTAAGTATAATCTGCTGGGTTCTCAGATAATGTATAGAGTATGCTGTTCAGGTTTCCAGGGCTAGCATCATTATATCACCCTGTACTGCAGGTGCAGGATGGTGGTGTATTGTGACTTGACGGTCACTCTCAAGTCATCCTTTTCCTCTTGTCCTGTGGTAGCAGTTAAGGATCATGGCAGTTCCTGCATTGGAGATGCTGGGACTCATATCTACCTCTCTGTTTTACTTTGCTGAAGGATTGGAATACTTTTCTGCTGCGCTTTAATGATTTGGACTTGTGTGTATCAGAAAACGAGACACTGAAGCATCTCTCCAATGACACCACCCCCCCTGAGAGCACCATGACCATTGGGCAGGCCAGATCATCCACCCAGCCGCCCCAGGCCCTGGAGGAGTCAGGCCCCATCAATATCTCAGTGGCCATTACCTTGACCCTGGACCCTCTCAAGCCCTTTGGAGGATACTCTCGAAACGTCACACACCTGTACTCTACCGTCCTTGGACATCAGATCGGACTCTCAGGTGTGTGCCAGCTACTTTTCCTTTCAGAGCTCTCAGGCAGCACCTGAGATAGGTTCAGTGTTCTGTGTTTGCGGGTGTTTCTCCTCTTGAGACGTGGACCTCATGAAGTCAAGAAGGAATGGTTGCTGTGCATCTTCACTCAGTCGGGGCTTCAGGAATCATACACAGTCTCTCTCTCTCTCTCTCTCTCTCTCTCTCTCTCTCTCTCTCTCTCTCTCTCTCTCTCTCTTTGGTTTTTCGAGACTGGGTTTCTCTGTGCAGCCCTGGCTGTCCTGGAACTCACTCTGTAGACCAGGCTGGCCTCAAACTCACAGAGATCCACCTGCTTCTGCCTCCTCCTCCCGAGTGCTGGGATTAAAGGTGTGTGCCACCAACTCCTGGCTATACAGTCTCTTACTAAAGGCTCACTGGAGTCAGGACTGATGGGGCCAGGGGTACAGCTCAGTGTTAGAGCACAGGGCTTGTGTGTGTGAGGCCCTGGGTTCCTCTTTAACACTGGGAGAGGGGGAGGAGGAGAAGGAGAGAGAAGCTCAGCCCGCAAGGTCTGTTTCTGGTCTCAGTATAATTGATCTCTGACCAGCATAGGTTTTGTGTGCACAGGTCCATTTATAATTGGTTTTTTTTTATTATTAAAAGCTTCTATTTTGTGTGTTTGGGTGTTTGGCATGGATGTATGTGCACTACGTGTGTTCCTGGTACCTGCAGACTGCAGAAAAGGGTGTTAGATCCTCTGGAACTGGAGTTACAGATGATTGTGAGCTGCATATGAATGCTAAGAACTAAACCCTGGTCCTCTGCAAGAGTACCCAGTGTTCTTCCTTGCTGAGCCATCTCTTCAGCTCTCTATTTGGACCCAAGAGCAGTGTAAGCACATATGAAGATGCTGTGTTAGGTCATGAAGGCATTGGGCCGGGCATGCTGGTACACAGTGATAATCCCAGTATGTGGGAGAGGAAAGCAGCAGGATTGTGAGTTTCAGGCCCTGCCTCAAAAACAAAAACGCTGGTGCACACACCTTTAATCTCAGCACACAAGAAACAGAGACAGGTGGGTCTGTGTAAGTTTGAGGCCACATAGTCTACAGCAAGCTCCAGAACAATGGGCTATATACTGAGACCTTGTCTCAAATAGAACAAAACAAAACACCAAGACAAAACAAAAACCCCAGAGGATTAAAAAAAAAGAAAAAGGCATGGTGGTACTTAAGGTAGAAGCAGGAGGATCGTAAGTTCAAGGTTATCCGTATTGAGTTTGAGGCCAGTGTATGCGACAAGTAAAAACAAAAAGCATCTTAGAAGCTTAAAATTAACTGTATTCTCTACACGGTCTTCCTGTGATAGCTTTGTAGCCACCTGACTGCAGTGGGGTCACATGATGAGTGTCCACTTAAAATATCATGCTAAGTCACTGTGTGCAAAGTCCACCTGTCCAGTCACTGTTAGTGACACACGCAGTAACTAGTGATTTTGTGTTGTGTGTTTCTCCTTGTTTACCGTAAATGAATAAATATGGTGTTAATTGACTATTGATGTTATCACTAAGACTTCCAGTCAGCATCAGGCAAAACTGGTAGTTAAGTCTGGGGAGTCAGGAATTCTACTCAGTTTTTGGACTGGACTGTGTGGGAGTTAGCACCCAAACACCATGTTGCTCAAGACACAAGTGTGTTTACGAACATATAACAGGTGTATTTTGCTGGGGTTTATAACACGTTGCCATTGTTATAATTTTTGTGTGTATGTGTGTATGTACATGAGTTATAGTGAACATATAGAGGTCTGAGGTCATTCCCTGGTGGTTGGTTTTCTGTATGTTTGTAGGATTAATCTTAGGTCACCATTGGGTTTATTTGCTCCTGACCCACTGAGCTGTCAATTTTGGTTATTTTTACTGTTGCTTGTGATGCTGAAATTTGAACCCAGGCTTCACGAATGTGAAAAAAGTGCTCTTTCAGGCCTGAAAAAGAATTTTTTTTATACTTAAAGATTTAAAATTAATTAAGCTGGGTGGTGGTGCATGCCTTTAATCCTAGCACTTGGGAGGCAGAGGCAGATGGATCTCTTGAGTTTGAGGCTCGGCTCATCTACAGAGTGAGTTCCAGGACAGCCAGGGCGGTTACGCAGAAAAACCCTGTGGGGGTGGGGTCAGGGGGGAAAGGGCGCAGGGCAGATTAATTATGTGTGTGGATGTGGATGTATTGCCTGGTGCCATGGAGGCCAGAGGGCACAGGATCCCCTTGGGACTGGTGTTACAGACAGTTGTGCCCTGCCGTGTGGGTGCTGTGAATTGATTCTAAGATCTTACCCCTGAACCATCTCTCCTGCCCTGGGTCTGCCTAGTTTTAAATGCCCACCATTTATTTAGCAATGTGCTAACTCTCAGAAAGAACTAGAAATAGCCTCAGACCAGGTTATTTCACCCTTGGAGATTATACAAGAGGCAAAAAATTACAGGAATTGGGTGGGGGTGTAACTCAGTGGTTAAGGGCTTGTCTAATATGTGTGAATCCTGGGTTCATTGCCAGTACTGAAAAAGATAAGCCAAACAGCAACCAAAGTTTTATGTCTTAGTTACTAGACTATTGGTGTAATTATTAAGGCCACTCCACGTAGTTAAAAGGAGATTTATTTAATGGCGTAACTTACAAATTAAGGGATAGGTAGGTCTCGGGGTCTGGGGAAGGTGTATCACAGTCCAGCAGTGTTCTCTGGAGCTCTGCTTGGTCCACCTCCACTATCCAGGGTCTCCGAACGGAGAGATCTCGGGTTCCCAGGCGCCTCCCTTGGCCCCGCCTTGTAGGCGTGACAGTTGCCAAAGTCTCAATGGGGGTTGGAACTTCCAGATCAAAGCTGGAATGGCTACCCACTACACTAGACAACTAGTTCTATGTTTGCTTGATACAAGCTAGAGTCATCTGAGAAGAAGAAACCTCAATTGAGAAAATGTTCCCACTAGATTGGCCTGTGGGTTTTTTTTTAATTGATGATTGATGTGTGAGGGCATCAGCTTATTGTGGGTGGTGCCATTCCTGGACTGGTAGACCTGGGTTCTATAAGAAAGCAGGCTCGCTGGGAGGAGGGGACTAGACCTACCTGGACTGAGTCTACCTGGTGGACCTCAGTCTGTGGGGAAGGCTTTGCCCTGGAGGAGATGGGAATGGGGGGGGAGTTGGGGGGAAGGTGAGGGGGACGGGAGGGGGGAGAACAAGGGAATCCGTGGCTGATATGTAGAACTGAATTGTATTGCAAAATAAATTAAAATAAATTAAAAAAAAAAAAAAGAAAGCAGGCTGAGTAAGCCATGAGGAGCAAGCCAGTAAGCAACCCCCCTCCATGGCCTCTGCATCTCTTGCTTCCAGGTTCCTGCTGTGCTTGAAGTCCTGCTCTGATTTCACTATGCAATGGAGTGTGGCCTGAGAGATAAACAAACAGACCCTTTCCTCCCCAAGTTACTTTTGTCATAGTCTATTATCACAGCAATAGAAAGCTAACTAAGACAGTTCACTATGAATTAACACTGACCAGATGCTTAAAATGCTATCTAGGGGCTTGTTAAATATATTAGCTACTTTTCTATTCCTGTGATAAAATACCATGATCAGAGCATCTTACAAAAGAAAGCTTAATTGGGCTTAAGGTTCTGGAGGTTTGAGTTTGTGCCAGCTGATGGTGGAGCAAAGGCAGGGCCGCAGGTGGCTGGAGGGGCAGCCGAGAGCTCACACCTGATCCACAAGCAGGAGGCAGAGAGCACCTGGGAGTGCAGGAGGCCCACTCCTGTGACACATCTTCCAACGAGACCATGCCTCCTAACCTTCCCAAATAGTTGTACCAAGTGGGAACTAGTAGTCAACATTTGAGCCTATGGGGACCACCATGTTAAATAATAACGAAAATAAATACCATGAGTATGGCCATACTTGCTTGTATGTGCTAAGCCTGAACACAGTAGCCATGGTGTAGGAGCACTTGAAAGTGGAAGCTGGAAGATTCTGGAAAGGCTTTGTTTATCCTAAGGGCTGGCTGGGCCTTGGAAGGATAACCTTTGGTTCTTTGGTTCCCAAAAGCCTTTGGGTAATGTCCACAAGGTGGTGGACATTACACAATGTCCTGCTGCCTTTGGCTATTAAGAGTTGAAAGTTGGTGTCATGATAGTAAGGGTACAAATCACCCCTGTTTGTTCCAGGAAGCAAGCATACCCTTTTCTCCTGATGACATTAGAACATCTCGATTTAGTGCAGGCTTCACTTTCTAGTCCCAAGACCTTCCCTAAGTCTGTTAGACCTGCTGCTTCCCCCCCCCCCCCCGTGTGTGTGTGTGTGTGTGTGTGTGTGTGTGTGTGTGTGTGTGTATACAGAGATGCTTGAGTCACATTCATGGCATAATGGTAGATTTTGAATGAAGTAATACATTAGTACAAAAAATCACTACATTCAAGTTGCTCAGCTCTGGTCCTGCTTGTGCTCTGGCATGGCTCCCTAGCCCTGACTGAAACACATAGTAGCCTTTTGTGAGCTACTTTGTGGCTGTACTTAGTCAAGCAGGCCTCATTGTCAGCACTGTGGCTCCCAGAAATCCCATAGGGCAGGTGTGCAAGCCAGTGGGTGGCATTGGAGCACCAGGGAACAGTCTGACTTTCTGGGTGTGTCCACCAATAAGCAACTAACTCTTCCACAGGCAGGGAAGCGCACGAGGAGATCAACATCACCTTCACCCTGCCTGCTGCCTGGAATGCCGACGACTGTGCCCTCCATGGCCACTGTGAACAGGTGGTGTTCACAACCTGCATGACCCTCACAGCTGCCCCTGGAGTCTTTCCTGTCACCGTGTAAGTGTCCAAACATTTGTGGAGGCCACGAGGACAACTTGCAGGAGTCAGTTCTCTCCTATTGTGTGGGTCTCAGGGATCGACCTCATTTTGTTAGGCTTGGTGGCAAGCCTTCTGAGCTATTTTGCTGGCTTTCAGGATTATTTAAGTTTAATTTGCAATTCTAACTTCTATATATACAAATGTGCCAAGCTGGGGTTGTAGCTTAGTTGGTAGAATGTTTGCTTAGCATTCATGAAGTCCTGGGTTCCATTTCCAACACAGAATAAATGAGCGTGGTGGAGCACACCTGTAGTCCCTAAGGGTTGGGGTGGGAGGATCAGAAGGTCAAGGTGTCTTCCTCTATACAGTGAGGTCAAGGCTAGCCTGGTGTACATGAGATCCTGTCTCAACGAAACCAAACAAACCAGAAAGCACCTCGGCCCCAGAGCTAGTACTTCAATGAGGTGGTAAAACATGATGCTGTGGCTGCTCTCCAGCTGCTTCTCCTACTAAGAGTCATATTGAAAAAGGAAGAGCCAGGCCCCTGCCAGAGTGATTTGTAATTAAAGCTGCCTAAAGGTAAAGGTTCTGCCTATCTCTGTGACCCAGAAATTAATTTTTGTTTTAGCTTTTTTAAGGATTCACTTTTATTACTTTAAATTGTGTGTATTTGTGGGGAATATGTACATGAGTATAGTTATTTTAGTGTTGGGGGGGATTTGTTTTGAGATGGTCTCATGTAGCCCAGGTTGGTCTCAAACACTACAGCAGAAGTTGGCTTAGAAGGAGATCTTGTCTCGGTCTCTGGGGTTCTGGGATTATAGGTGTGCAACCCCTTGCCTGGCTCCTTATGTGTTTATTCAGAAAAATACAGAACAGTCGGATGTGTTGGTGCACACCTGCAGTTCTAGCATTTGTGGGTCAGCCTCTGCTAGATGGAAAGCCTGTCTCAAAATAGCAAAGCAAAAGACCCTCGAAACATCCTGGTATTTATCCCAGAGAAACATGTAATTGTTCAGAACATCTTATTTCTCCTTTCCTCATGTTGCTCTGTTCAGGGTTGCGGGTGCTGTGTGTGGAGGGAGTCCAAGTAAATGTTTCAGGTCACCGAGTTGGTCTCTTCTCTCCCCTGCAGTCAGCCACCTCACTGTGTCCCTGACACATACAGCAACGCCACACTCTGGTACAAGATCTTCACAACTGCCAGAGATGCCAACACAAAATATGCTCAAGATTACAATCCTTTCTGGTGTTACAAGGGCGCCATCGGAAAAGTCTATCATGCTTTAAATCCCAAACTCACCGTTATTGTTCCAGATGTAAGGGAAACAAGTTCTGTTTATTTGTGTGTCTGTGACTCTCTCTGTGTGTGTGTGTGTGTGTGTACATGCATCCTGGAATTGTGAGTGAGTGTGTGAATGTTTACATCTTGGGTTAGCTCAGCCCTGGCCAGTCAAGGTTTCCACCTGGTTAGTCAGTAGAGCTGTGAAAATCACGGTACCTTTGTGGGAGAGAAAAGCCTTGCTCCTTCACTTTGTGTGTTTCTCAGCAGCAGTTGTATGTTGAGTTCTGTTGCGTTTGTAACCCATAGAGGAGGGTCCCTGTTCTTGTCTGGCCTTACGTGCAGAGTGTCTGCTTAGTTCAGTGTTAGCAATAGCCAGTGCTGTGTAGGGTACAAAAAGGCGGTAGCAGTGCAGGGGGAGAGGCAGATCTTTGCTTTGTTTCTCCCTTTTGACAGGTCTTACTATGTAGCTCAGGCAGGCCTGGAAATTGTGATCCTCTTGCTTCAGCCTCTTGAGTGTGTTTGGCTTGATAGTGGGGCCTGCATAGCATTTAATTTCAGAGGAAAGAGGAAGCAGTCACTGCTGTATTCAGCAGGTAGAGTCTGCCACACTGATGATTTTGTATCCTTGCTTTCCTTCTGCATGGATTTCTTAGTTTTCCTGGGACTTTTCCTTATTTTCATTTCTGTCCAGTTATAAAAGTTGGTCGCCAGGGAGCTCAGGTGTGGTGTGGAAGGGAAGGCTGCATGGTGGGCAGATCAGATTCTAGAACCTTCCCTGCCCTGCCATAGCATTCACCTGTCTCCTCCAGCAGGGCCCTCACTGTCTGTGTCAGGCAACTGTAAAGCAGTCCCTTAAGAAGACTGGAGTGGGGCTGGAGAGATGGCTCAGCGTTTAAGAGCACTTCCAAAGGTTCTGAGTTCAATTCCCAGCAACCACATGGTGGCTCACAATCATCTGTAATGAGATCTGGTGCCCTCTTCTGGCCTGCAGGGATACATATATAAATATAATATATACATATAATGTATACATACTAAATAAATAAATAAATACTCTTTAAAAAAAAAAAGACTGGAGCTAGGGAGATGGCTCAGCAGTTGGGAGTACTTGCTCTTGCAAAGGGACCAGAGTTCACCCACATCAGGCAGTTCACAACACTAGAGGACCTGATGTACTTTCCACAGGCACCTGTACACACATGGCATACATACACCTAAGTAAAAATAAAATCTTAAGGAAAAAAAAAAGACTTGTTTGGCCTGGTATATATCCTGAAGTCCAGGCACTTGGGAGGCTGAGGCAATATGAGTTCCAGGCCAGCGTGTGCTACATAGTGAGTTCTAGGTCAGGCTGTACTCAAGAGTGAGACTGTCTCTAAAGTAAAGACTTACCTGCTCTCTGCTGTGAAAGGTAATGGCAGGTAGCCAGGATCTCTCACACACCCCTCCTACTGTGGTTGCATATCAGTCTCAGCCTGTATCCCTTCCAGCCAGGGACTTAGTGAAAGCAGAGAAGGGATGCTGTCTGCTGGGGAGATGTGCCAGCTGTCTACTGGAGTAGCAGCACAGAGTGGGGACAGCAGACAAGTTGTTTTGTGGGGTCACGAGGACGTGTCCAGAGAAGAGCAGGCAGGCCTCACAGTGGAAGATAGGCTGGTGGGGCTCTGGCAGTGTGGGGGTACAGAAGCCACTGTAGATGAAGTAGTGGTTGCTCCTTAACCAAGGTTGCACAGAAGCTCAAGTCTAACCCTTGTGAGAACTAGTTTGGTAGTTTTGGAGATGAATGGAGAGACTGCCTGTTTAAGCTTAAGAACTAGTATTCGGGGGCTGGAGATGGAGCTGAGTGGTAGAGCATTTGTCTAGTGTGCGTGAGGCCACGGGTTCACTTCCGAGCACTACAAATGAATGAAATTGCTGCAGGCATGGAGGCTGATGTTTGAAAAGTTGTTAGTAATGGACTGCATGTGTCTGGTTTCTTTCCTTTTGTTCATTAGGACGACCGTTCATTAATAAACCTGCATCTCATGCACACCAGTTACTTCCTTTTCGTGATGGTGATAACGATGTTTTGCTACGCAGTTATCAAAGGCAGACCCAGCAAATTGCGTCAGAGCAATCCTGAATTTTGTCCTGAGAAGGTGAGCAGTGGGTGGTCTGTCTGGTTCCTGGTGATAGGCCTTTGTCTAAACAGACAAACAAAAATTTAAAAAGGTCCTGGCGTCATGATAGCTGTTTTGAAATCCCTGTTGGATAGTTCCTGTTCCTGGGTACCTCTCTACCCCTGATCCTTCCGTCAGCACAGGAGTCATGCAGCACAGTGCCTGTCAGGGCAGTTAGCTATGGCCAGGGATGTGGCTTGGTAGTAGAACGCTTGCCTCACATGCATGAAGCCTTAGGTTCAGTCTTCAGCACCGAATAAACCAGATATGGTGGTGCATGCCTGCAATCCCAAGACTTGGGAGGTTGAGGCAGGAGGATCATGAATTTGAAGTCATCTTCAGCTCCATAGTGAGTTTTTGGCCAGCCTAGGTTACAAGAATCCTTGTCTCAAAAAGCAAGTCCAAGCTCAGGAGAAGTCCACACACCTTAAATTCCAGTTCTTAGTGGTCAGAGCAGAGGCAAAGGAGTCAATATGTAAATAAGTCAAAGCCAGCCTCGTCTATATAGAGTGGTCCAGCAAGAGTTACATAGTGAGACCCTGTCTCCAAAATGAATGAATAAATAATAAATAAAAGGTTAACTCTCCCAGCATAGCATAAGTAGTTTGGCAGGTTGGCCACTGCTTACAGACTGAGGTTTTTTTTTTTTTTTTTTTTTCCCCTTTCCTCCCTGAGGTGAGGTGGTTTCCTTAATGTTTTATTAATTCCCTTGCCAAAAGATAATAGATGTTCATGGTCAGCATGACCTTGTGGTATCAGGCTAGGTGCCAGCAGCTCCCTATTTGACTTGATTGCCTGCTTGCTCTCTTCTAGGTGGCTTTGGCTGATGCCTAATCCCATGGCTCCCCATTTTCTGAGAGACCAAGAACCATGATCATTGCCTGCTGAACCGGCCAGGGCCTGGCCACTCTGTGAATACACGATCTTGCAATGTTGGGTTATTCCAGCCAAAGACATTTCAAGTGCCTGTAACTGATTTGTACATATTTATAAACATTGATCTGGAAATTGGTCCTGTGATGCACGTGCTTTGCCCTGGATGCAGCCTGAACCCGTCACCCTCACTCTGGGGGCAGGAGGGCACGGACACGGGGTTCTTCTGTGTAGTGCCGGGAGATGTGGGGATCTTGTCAGAGCTGAGCAGGTCATGTTCCAGTGCCAGTGGGGCCGAGGTTTGCTGTGGTTCTTGTTTCAGCCTGATGTGTTCAGTGTTGGAAGCGGTTTGCACCTTTGTTGGGATGCTGCATTGCAGAAGCCACCATTCCCTCCTGTGGCTCTTAAATGTCCGTGGCTTCATGATCATAGTGACAGCTGTAATACCTTTCTTTTCTGTTTGCTTGCAAGGAAATTCCCCCCCCCTTTTTTTTTAAAGAAAAAATAGTCACATTTTACTATTCCTCTAGTTAGGGTAGACGTGTTTGTCTGTCCTAGCTAAAAGGTTACGCATCTAAAAGTCACTTAGGTAGTAAAGATCAAAGTGTCATTTTCTACACCGGCAGGTAGGAACTGGAGTGCTCTGCTGTTGTCTGCCCCTGGTAGAGAAGTCACTAGCTTCAGAAGTAGCTGTGTAGTAGAGGCCCAGGGAGGGCTAACTTCCACAACGCAGGGCATGTTACTGAAAGAATGAACGGTGGTTTGGTCTAACAGTCACAAACAGGAGGTCTTGCTTGGTGTGTGTGTGTGTGTGTGTGTATGTATGTGTGTATGTATATGTATGTGTGTATGTATGTATGTATGTGTGTTTGTGTGTTTGTTTTTAAGGAGATGTGTTTTCTTTTTAAATTTTTTTTTTTGCATTCATTTTTGTACACCACATATCTTCAGATAGAAAATGGATGTTAGGAGATGTGTAATGTGGAAATGATGCTGGTGAGATCTGAAAGAAGGCATGAGGTTCTGATGCCTATTGACTGAGCAATACCGGAAGCATTTTGATGCTTTTGACCATCTGGTTCCTCTGTCCCTTTGCCCTCTCATATTCCATCTAAAAAAACATCATCTCTTCCACTCCCTATTACTTGTATTTTCAGTTTCTATCAACGCTTTGCCTTAACAACTCTCAAGTTGCAGTGTTCTCTCAATCAGTGTTCCAGACTTGCTGGGTGTGGGGATGCATGCATGTATGCCTAGCACTTTGGAGGCTGAGGCAAGGAATCTCAAGTTCAAGGCCAGCCTGGGCTACATACCGATACTCTATTTCTCAAGCAGGAAGAAATACTTAGGTATGTCAGCACTTTCGTTCCATAACTGTAGGTCTATAGTCTGTCTCAACTGGAGTTAACTTGATGTTTTCTGAAACTTACTGGCCTAGAGAATTTTATCCCAGGCATTCTTTAATGGAAAACAGTAGGGTTTTTTTTGTTTGTTTTTTGTTCTTTTAGTTGAAGATTGTTAATCATTATAGTTATATGATGCATTAGTTTCTTTTTTAAAACCAGTGGTGAGTTGCTTATAAGATGGCTAATGTGGGCCGGGCAGTGGTGGCGCACGCCTTTAATCCCAGCACTCGGGAGGCAGAGGCAGGCGGATCTCTGTGAGTTCGAGGCCAGCCTGGTCTATAGAGATCCAGGACAGGCACCAAAACTACACAGAGAAACCCTGTCTCAAAAAACAAAAAAAACAAACAAAAAGATAGCTAATGTGTGAAGTTCATTTAGTCTTCACTTTAAGTGAGACCCTTGTCAGGCAGGATGAAAAAAAAGCCACGTGACTTGGCTGGTATAACTGTGTCATTGGGACCATCAAGTTTCAGATTAAGCTGAGTAATAAAGCCCAGTGAAGTGGAGTGAAACAGTTGGGAAGTGTCACTTCCACTGGCCTGTGCAGCTCAGCTGTGTTCCTCTTAGTCACCTTGTTAATGACAGGCAGCGGCTGGGATCTGAGGGGTGGGAGGGAGGAATACAACAGGCCTGAGGAGAGGAAGTGCCAAAATGCTTGGGACATGACCTGTCCTGAGGCCAGATAGGAACTTTAAAACCCAGTATTCACCATAGCAGGTAGACAGGCGGAGGATGGCTGGGGAAGGAGGGTGTGGCTGAGTTTAGGGGCCTGGAGACACATCTGCAGGACTTGTTAGTGTTGGGCAAGTGCACACAACTCAGCTGCCCCTTGCTGGTAAACCTCAGGATTGGAACCTTAGGCCGGGCCACTGGAGACCTCCGACCCAGCAGCACTGGCTTACCTCGGGTGTCCTCGACTGGGGTGCAGTCAGAAGTCAGTGACTTCCTGTGAAATGGTTGTTTCAGATCATATTGATCTCTTTCCTTTTGTCCTTTCACCATATGGTATGACTTGAATCAGTTTTGATTCTCTGTGTAAGTTCTCATCATTTGGAACCTGGTGTTTCTGTTGTGTTCTTGGCAGTGCATAGGAACCCAGCCTCCTGTGTTTTGACCCTCCTGCAGGCACTGTGGGACTAGAGGGCAGCAGATCCATCTCCCGTCCCTTGCTGCATGATGGTCACTACTGATCTGTGATGGCGTCCCTCCCTCATTGATTTTCTGTGTTTGAAGTATGTGCATATGTGCTTTACAGAATAAAATATCTGGATTTACTTGGTTTGTTTTCTTTCCTCCAACCTGATAGCAGTTTAAACAAAAAGGAACACTTACAGGCTGTTTTTTGAGTACCACCTGTCATGAGGATGAAGGGTGGACAGTGTTTCCTACTAAGGTGACCTCAACCCATGGATCTTTGTCCAAAGAGTGTAAAACCTTGTACTGTAGGAGAACAAGTGCTCACTGACCTGGCCCAAACTACCAGAGACGACAGTAAGAGCCAGGGCTGTGGCTCAGTGGTAGAGCTCTTGCTAGAACACCCCAGTGAAGGGCTGAGGGCATGGCTAAGCAGTAGGTTTCTGGGTTCTATTCTCAGCACACAGGCTATGCAACCAACAAATCAGTACAGATGGTTAAACATACCCTGGCCTATTAACTAAATCCTTAGTGTGCCCCTCAGCCACCGTTAAGAACAGCAGGCTATGGGCTGGACAACTTGCAGAAGTCAGTGGTTCTCTTCTACCATGTGGGTCCTGGGGATAGGTCATTAGACTTAGGGGTATGGGCCTTTACTGGCCATCTTGCTGGCCTGAGAACCTATTTGAACAAAACAAAACCCAGAAAGAAACACCTTATTTGTGATATCTGGCCTTTGCCTCTGAAAACTAAATTTCTTGTGTTATGTTGGTTGGTTGTAGGTGAACGAACTCTAAAAATAGGGGTTGGGCACAGGCCTATAATTCAGGAGGCCGAGGCAGGAGGATCGACTCTGAATGGGAAGAAAAAAAAATTGAAAACAAACCCAAAAAAACTGTCTCAGATCTTTATTTATATTTAATATTCACTGGTGTTTTGCCTGCCTGTACGTCTGTGTGAGGGTAGCCCTGGAACTGGAGTTATAGACAGGTGTAAACTGCCATGTGGGTGCTGGGATTTGAATCTGAGTCCTCTAGAAGAGCAGGCAGTGCTCTTACCCATCCAGCCATCCCTCCAGCACCCCCCCCCCCCACCCTCCAATTGTGTTTTTGAGATGGAGTTTCTCTGTGTAGCCCTGGCTGTCCTGGGCTCATCTGTAGACCAGGCTGGCCTTTGAAGTCAGATCTGCCTGCCTCTATCTCCCAAGTGCTGGGATTAAAGGCCTTTGATTTCAAGACCCTCAAAACACAAACCAAACCACCCAACAAAAAACCCCAAACTGATGGTTAATACTGTCAAATTGACAGGATCTAGAATTACCATGGGAACAAAGCTCTGGTCACATCTGTGAGAGTCTCTAGATTGGGTTTACTGTATGGGCTGGGGCCCTGACAGAATAAAAGAAAGCTGAGCATCTGAATTCATCTTTTTCCGCTTCCTGACTGCAGATGCAACATGACCTCATGATTCTGCCACCATGCCTGCTCTGCTGTGATGGACTGTCACTCCTCAAACTGAGCTAAAGTAAAACCTTTCTTCCTTAACACGCTTCTGTCAGGCAGTTCATCACATCATCGAGGAAAGTACCTAATACAAAAACCAGACCCAAAAGGAAGCTGTCTAGAAATGCAAGCCAGAGCTTAATAAAAATAGGTTTTATTGATTATGTATCATTTTAGCTATACTAACATATATTATAAACTTTTTAAGAATTAGTATTAATGACTTTATATATTTTACCAAGAATAATCTAAGTCAGTTGTGGTACCATGTTTGTTGAAAATTCAAAATTTCCGTAGTCATTATATGTCTGTATGTAGAGAACCAGGAAGTCTTCTCCAAGCTCACACCCCTGACCTGGACTTCATTATGCAAAAGCACCACATCTTTGTCCCAGCAAACACTCCTCTTTGTCATACAGACCTCTCTCCAGTGATCTATCACATACTAAATCTGCTTTCTTATCCCCCAGCATCTCTGATCTTTCCTGCGGAACTATAAAGGCATAGACAGCAGTGAAGAGCTGTTCTGGACACTGTATTTTGGGTTTGTCATTTTTGCTGGAAACCCCAGTTTACAACAGAAACACCCAGTACGTAGGTAAATGTTTAACACAAGATTGGAAAGTAGCACGTTGCTTGAGCAGGGCTTTTGGCAGGTCACAGAAACAACTGCTGCTGCTGGGGACAAAGTCCTCTGTTGTGCTCCAGCAGAGGAGCTGGAGAGTGTCATGTCATTCGAATTTCTCATCTCCTTCCTCCACGTCTTTCAGACTGAGCACTTCCAGAGAACCCTTGCCTTTGGTTTCCTTTTTTATTAGCTCATCGATTTCTCGGAAGCAGCCTGGGTCGATGAGACATACCTGCAATGATTACGTAGCTGTTTACCAAGGAAGGATGGATAACAGCACAGAATAAACTCAGTTTGAATGCTCAAGGCAGACCTATGGCTGTGTTCTAGGTGTTGCTCACAGTGGAGGCCTGCTAAGCATCTGTTGTTGGCCTTTGGGAAAGGCACTCACCCCTGTCTGAAGACTCATCTGGTCAGTGCTGCAGCTCACAATGAGAGCCAGCATCAGCCTAGTATTAAGACTTTGGGTTCAATAAAAAAAACAAAAACCAAAAACAAAACCCTGGGTTCAATCCCTAGTACCCTCCTATTAAAGACATACCCAGATTCCCCAGCTGTAAAATAAAGGGTTTGTAGCAGACTATGGTCCTCTCCAGGCTGAAATCTAGCATTAGACCAGCAGTTCTCAACCTGTGGGTTGTGAGACCTCTGGTCACCTAAGACCATCAGAAAACAGATATTTACATTATGATGCATAACAGTAACAATTTACAGTTAGGAAGTAGCAACAATAATATGGTTGGGAGTCACCACAACATGAGGAACTGTATGAAAGGGTTGCAGCATTAGAAAGTTGAGAACTACTGCATTAGACCCTCATAGGTCAGTGACAGTCACCTCCACCTGTGAAGCAGACACACTAAGAAGCCATGGTGGGTTCTGAAAAGTTCAGATGTTACAGTGTTGGTATGCTGTTTCTCAGCAACAAATCCTCTCATTGCTAATGCTTAAAACATGTTCTGGCAGAAAGAAAGATGGTAACTTCTAGTCTCAAGTTTACTATGCAGCTGAGGATGACCTTGAATTCACCAGAGTGCTGGGATGACAAGTGTACACTACCTGGCTCCACTTTTATTATTAGTTGTCCCATAATAGAAGACTCAGTGTAAAATATATCTTACTACTTAAAAGAAAATGAACACAACCAACATAATTCTAGTATGAATAACTTGAGCAAATAAAATTGTGTGTGTACTTAACTGCAGTATCCTGTTTACACCTTGACATGTTAGCCTAGCCTGCAACTTCTTAATATTGTTACATGGTTTGAATATGAAACGTTCCCAACAGGCCCATGTTTTATCTCCGGTTGGTGGTACTAATTTGCCAAGTCTGGAAACTTGAGGAGGTGAGGTCTACATGGAGGAAGTAGATGTCTGGGGGCCTGTCTCTACAGGGTACACCTGGTCTCTGTTTCCCTGCTTCCCTCTCTTTCCTGTTCTGCCTGTGTGTATGAGGCCAAGCAGTCATGGACTGAACCTTCTCAGACTGAGCCAAATACACCTCATGTCCTTATTCTGTTCTCTCAAGTCTTTGGGTCACAGCTAGGCAAAAGTAAGAAATGCAGCACTTAGGATCAGAAACTAAGCTTTTCTGGTAGAATGAAGCCAAGAATTGACGTTCTAATCTCGGGGCCCAGGGTGCACCACTGGCTCCCCACCGCCGTCATCTTACTATCTCCAGCTGCTGGCTGTAGTCCTCACTCTCCACGACCTTCATCAGCGGCTTCAGCTTCTCCTTCAGCTTCTTGCCCTCATTCAAGGGCAGGATGAAGCGCAGCCGCATGTGGGCACGCTCGATCTTCATCTTCTCTTTTAACTGCTTTATCACTTCCAAAGCCTGTCACGACACAACGGAGAGTGCTTATTATTTAGATGCGTGCTGCACTGACTTGTATGTCGACGCGAACATAGCTACATTATGCCAGTGGGCTCATGGCCAGGACACAGGCAATCCTAGAAAAGCCTAGAGAAGTGAGATCATGGAGATAAAGTAACTCTGCTTTGGAAGGAAGCACCGTCGAAGGCTGGGAATGTTCCGAGGACACCAAAGAGCGCTCACCTGCTGCTTTGTGCTCTTGTTGGGTTTGACCGAGTAGTGGATGTCCTTCATGGCTCTCTCGATGAGGATAACCGTGTAGGGCCTTTTTGTTTCTGGGTTCACACATTTGTCTGCCACAATGGTTGCAATATCCCTAAACATCTGCTCCAGCTGTGTGTGCCGTTCTTTATCTGACACTTGAACTTCTCCTTTAGTCAGAATCTAAAAATGGCAGAACATAGAGAAAGCCCCCATCAGTTTTAGTGATCTTTCTCTACTGCACAGAATTAGATAGCAGGGAGGAAAGGAAGTTTTATTCTCTGCAGCTGCTCATGTGGAACCATCTGCTGCTAAATCCAGCACTGGATTATAAGCAGCTCCAAGATCCCGCTTGTGGGCCAGCTAGAGAGAGGGGAGAAAAATCCATCTAGAGCAGCAGTTCTTAATCTGTGGGTTGCAACCTCACATAAAATACCCTGTATATCAGAAAATTTTTTTTCTTTTTTTTTTTTTTTGGTTTTTCGAGACAGGGTTTCTTTGTGTAGCTTTGCACCTTTCCTGGAACTCGCTTTGTAGACCAGAATGGCCTCGAACTCACAGAGATCTGCCTGCCTCTGCCTCCCGAGTGCTAGGATTAAAGGTGTGCGCCACCACTGCCTGGCACATCAGACTTTTTCTTTTTAAATACAGGTTTCTCTTTGTAGCCTTGGCTGTCCTGGAACTTACTGTGTAGACCAGGCTGGCCTTGAACTCACAGAGATCCACCTGCCTCTGCCTCCTGAGTACTGAGGTTAAAAGGGTGCACTACCACCGTCCGGCACATTATGATTCTTAACAGTAGCAAAATTGCAGTTTTGAAGTAAAAAGGAAACAGTTTTATGGTTGGGGGTTCGCCACAACATGAGGAATTGTATTAAAGGGTCACAGCATCAGGAACCACTATTCTAGAGGCATCACATACCCGCCCCTCCCCCCCCCCAAAAAAGGACCTGGGTTCAGTCCTTAGAACCACCACAAACAAACAAACAAACAAAAAACCCAAAAAACAAACCACAGGTAGGTTTGAGTTCGAGGCCAGCCTGGTGAGCATAGCAAATTCCAGGCCAGCCAGAGCTGCACAGTGAGTCTGGGGTGGGGTGGGGCAGGAAGCACAGTAATGTAAAAAGATGTGATTTATTAGAAAAGTTAATTTCTAAAGTTTGATTTAAAAAAATCCAAAAAAAAAAAAATAAAAAATAAAAAATAAAAAAATACAGAAGCTGCATGTGGTGGTTTCCTTTGTCTCCAAAAAAAAAAAAAAAAAAAAAAATGATCAAACAAAAAAACTTCCAGGTCGGCTACTTGGCTCTTCGTTAGGATGGAGAACTAGGCAGTCATGTGGCTCCTAAGGAGGCTGAAGCTGGGGTCCACTGTCAAGGCCTTAGAATGCAAATTGCAAGTTTCCGTGCCCCACCAGCCTTACCTAAAACTGGCAGAAATGCTTTGAGAACCATCAGCAGAGTTACAGAAAAGCCACTGAAGATTAAGAGACCCCTCAGACAACCAACTTTCACTGTGAAAAAGATCACGGAAGACTGTGAAGGCACAAAGCAGGGCTCCTGCATCCAAGGATGCCAGTCCAGAAACAGAAAGTTCTTCCCTGTCTATCCTCTACATTTTGAGAGTTTTGACCTGCCTGAAGAGGACCAGACTGCACCCCTCCCCTTGAATGGGGTAACCCTCACCATCCTGAACCAGGTGAGAGGACTTGAGAAGCTGCGGCACATGCACCCTCTTTGCCTCTGAAGAGGCCCTTTCCACCATGGCAAGCTATTTCATTGCTGTCTCCTTCCAGAATTCTCCCTGCCACCTGTTTGTTGCAATACAGCTATTTCAACTTCTTAGTCCTCTTGGTTTATGTTGTTTCAATAAAGCTGTGTATGCATGGCAAGCAGATGCCTACTAATACTGTAACTGGTATTTCCTGGAATTAAAGCAACAGAAATTGAAAATTTGTGTTAAAGTGATACTGGAGGAGCTGGAGAGAAGGCACAGTGGAGTGCTTGCTGCTCTTCTTGAGGATCCCAGTTCAATTCCCAGCACCCACACCAGGGTCTCACAAACACTTATAACTCCAGATCCAGGGGATCCAATGCCGTTTTCTGGTCTCTGCAGGCACCTTGCACAAATGCGCACACTCGCTTACGATACACATACATAAAAGATAAACCAGCTGGGCATGATGGTGCACAACTTTAATTCTAGCACTCAGGAGGCAGAGGCAGGTGGATTACTGTGAGTTTGAGGCCAGCTTGGTCTATATAATGAGTTCTAGGCCAGCCAGAGTTACAGAGTGATACACCCCCCCCCCACAATGTTATACTGGAGCTGAGTGTGGTGGCCTGATGCAGGAGGATCAGAAGTTCCAGTCCAGCATAGCTATCCAATTGAGTTTGATGTCAGCTTGCACTACACAGTGAGACCCTGTCTCAAAAAAACAGCAACATACAAACAAACACCGTACTAAACTCCCAAATCTTCCAACAACATAAACTGGAAAAAAAAAAAAAGCTAAAACAACAAACAAAAACTCATCAAGGAAGAACAGAGGTCCTGATGTTGCCTATGAACATGGGAATGTGCTATGTTGCAATTGGCAGAACCTACCTGTTTACAGATTTCAGTCTGGTCATCTGTCCCAAATGCACTGATGAGGTCCTCCTTCTTGGCGACCTGACCTTTGGAAACATTTACAAACACTGAGTGGGTCTGCAGAACTTCATCAAGGTCTTTTTCCCTTGAAAGGGCAGGAGAGAAAGTCCCATGTGAATTCACTGGACAGTTGGAAATCCTTTCACACAAAATTCAACAAGATAAATGGCAAATGTTGCTCGTCTGCAATCCCAGCCCTTTAGGAGGTGGCGGCAGAAACTGGGAGTTCAAGGACAGCCTCAGCTATATAGTGTTCTGTGCTACCTTGTCTCAAAAAAACCAAAACCAAAAGAAGAGAAACTCAACTTTTTTTTTTCTCTCTCTCTCCCGGCTTCCCCAAGGTGTCTACCTGGCAGGAACAATCTCAGACTCAGGACAGTATCTGTAATCTTTCACTTAATCACGGAGAAAAAAAAAAAAACCGCAAAAACACGTCAGGAAACTGAGGGTGTGGCAGGGTGTGGTGCTGAGGGCTTCCATCCTGGAATTCCGTCCCTAGATGGCAGTAGTGAAGACACTACGCACTTGGATAAACCTGGGGATTCTGAGGGGTGTGTATGTGACATCGGCTGTACTAATTTCAGTATTTGTAGGATCAGCTTCCCGATTACTATTCCAGGAAAATGGCCATAGTGTTTCTTTTCTTTGTGATCGTATTTGGAGTATATCGGATTCCCGTCTTAATCATTTATCCGAGAAGCTCCCCTAATTCCGGGGCTTCTTGGCTGCAGCTTTGTTGTCTAAGGAGACAGACAGACAGACAGACAGACAGACACACACACACACACACACACACACGTTCCAGGTTGTCCTGGAACTCACAGCAATCCTCCTGCCTCAGTCTCCTGAGCGCTGGGATTACAGGCCTAGGCCACCAGGCCCAGCTAGGACGGAGTTTCTAGTTGGCAGTTTCTGACACCAACAAAATGCCAAACCAGAAGCCAGTTCGAATCAAGCAAACGAGGCCTGAAAGGTACCCATAGCTCTCAGGGGCCGCGGTTAGAGAGGCCAGGCCTCCGGGTAGCCCGACCGCAGGCCTCCGGGCACAGGATCACTCACACGCCACTCCGCCAGCCGACGACCTTGTTTTTATAGCAGGCGATTTCGAAGCGCTTCCCTGCCCGCTTCATCCGCACCACGGCCACATTGGTCAGTCGGATCTGGTTGGTCGGGGTGAAGATCGACATGGCGGCTGCTCACAGACTTCGGGCTCTCCAAGTGCTCGGCTGTAACGACCCCGCGGCGCGTGGAACCCCGGAGGGTTAGGCTCTCCGCTGACCGACGCCTCAGCAGGAGTCCCTACGCACCCGCCTGCCCTACTGCGCCTGCGTCAGGCGGTGCACTAATGGGGCAAAGGCTAAGAAAGCATCTACGCCTGCGCAGTGAGGCTTCTACGCCATCTATCTCCGCCCTCAAAGGAAGGCGTCCTTCGATGACGTCATTCGCGGGCGCCCGCAACTCCTATTGGCGGGTGAGTAATGTTTATTGACCCGGTGGAAACGTGGTGTTCTAGTTCAATAGTTCTGCAGAATTCAGGAGCTGCAATCATTTTAACCTTTTGTTTGTTTGTTTGTTTTTGTTTTTCAAGACAGGCTTTCTCTGTGTAGTTTTGCGCCTTTCCTGGAACTCGCTTTGGAGACCAGACTGGTCTCGAACTCACAGAGATCCGCCTGCCTCTGTCTCCTGAGTGCTGGGATTAAAGGCGTGCGCCACCACCGCCCGGCACATTTTAACCTTTTTAAGGAGAATTTTAGTGAGAAAGGAGGAGGAGGAGAAAAAAAGTGTAATGAGCTTCCATCGTCTTGCTTTAATAATTATCAACCGGTTTCCATTCTTATTTTATCCTCTATTGTATTATTTTACTTTTTTTTTTTTTTTTTTTTTTCGAGACAGGGTTTCTCTGTGTACCTTTGGAGCCTGTCCTGGAACTCACTTTGTAGACCAGGCTGGCCTCGAACTCACAGAAATTCGCCTGGCTCTGCCTCCCGAGTGCTGAGATGAAAGGAGTGCGCCACCACCGCCCGGCTATTGTATTATTTTAAAGCAAATCACCAGGTGTGATGGTCCTCACGTATAACCCCAGAAATTTTCAGGTATCGATAAGGCTATCAGGAGTTCAAGGTCATCCTAGCTTACACAGAGAGTTTGAAGCAAGCCTGGGCTACTTGAGATCCTGTTTCATCACCTCTCGCAAAGCATATATATCATCGCATGGTTTTAGCTTTAAATACTTAAGTATATACTCTTAGCAGACACTCCCAGAGACATCTACTCTAAAACCTCAGGATCATCTAATATTTACTTCACATTCTATTTTCAATACCTAATCAATGCCTGTTATAGTCGACTTATTACAGTTACGATGCAAATGAGTCCACCGACCTGAGCTACTTCCTATAGTCAATGTCCTTTTTGTTTGTTTGTTTGTTATTTTGAAATAAAGTCTCATTATGTAACGTAGGCTGGTCTCTAATTCATGGGTGATCCTCCTGCTTCAGTCTCTCGAATATTGGAATTAGAAGAATGCGCTACTACACCGGCAGTATTTGGTCTGTTTTTTTTTTTTTTTCTTTTCTTCTTAAGATTCCTTTTTTTCCTCTATGTGATCATTCTTTTGGCCCTGCGTAGTGGCCTATGCACTCAGGAGACAGAGGCAAGCTAATCGCTTTGTAAATTCGAAGCCAGTTTGCCCTACATAGCAAGTTACAGCCAGGAATACACGTGAGACTCTTGCTTCAAAGAATAGCTGTCCTGAATCTAGTGATGCTCCTGCCTCAGCCTCAAGAGCGCTGGATTTACAAGCCTATGTCAATGAGCTGTCATTCCAACTTGAACAGATACAGAGCAGTATCCTCCTGCAGACATCCTGTCTGCGGTTTATGGTCCTTGAAGATATCTAGATAATCCTGCTGAGCAGTCCAGATAATCCTGTTCAGCGGGTTGTGGTTCCCCGCCAAAAGTCTAACCCAATGGTTTCAAATGTGGTTTTGCACCCAAAGTCTAGACCAATAGTTTCTAAAAAATCACCTTGCCCCATACCCCTTCTACCCAATCCCAAGTTGCCAATTCCTGGCTTGTGGTTTTTCCCTATAAAAACTCTCGGCCGGGCGGTGGTGGCGCACGCCTTCAATCTCAGCACTCGGGAGGCAGAGCCAGGTGGATCTTTGTGAGTTCAAGGCCAGCCTGGTCTACAGAGCGAGATCCAGGAAAGGCACAAAGCTACAGACAAACCTTGTCTCGGAAAAAAAAAAAAAAAAAAAAAACCCAAACAAACAAACAACAACAAAAAACCCTCTCTACACCTGGGCTCGCGGCTGCCGCCACATTTCCTTCCATCTGCTGTGCGGTGGCCAAGGTTGAACCTGAATAAAAGGACCCTTATGTGCTTGCATCAGAAAAAAAAATGAGCTGTCATTCATTTCTTTCATTCATTTACTTAATTATTTTGAGACAGGGTCTCTCTACATAGCTTCAGCCTACGTATGTCCTGGAACTCATTACGTAGACCAAGCTGGCCTCGAACTATGAACTCACAGAGATCGGTCTGCCTCTGCCTCCTGAACGCGAGGATTAACGGTCTGCACCACGCCAAGGCCGTGATTCATTTTTTGGTAGTACTTTCCTCTGTCCCGCCTTTTCCCACTCTAAGCCAAACCGAGCTTCCCACGGGCCCGCCCCTTTCTACTCTGAGCCAATCCGAGAAGGACAGGAAGTGCTCCACTATCTTTCCCAGCGTTACGAGCGGGGCTTCCCTCTGGTCCCGCCCCCTTTCCTCACTTGAGCCAATCAGAGAGGAGCTTTGAGCTTCCGCTAGCTCCGTCTTCTCCTGGGCCCGCCTCTGTCCTCTGTGGCCAATGCGGGCGGGCTTGCCGACGGCATGGCTTCCCTGGTTCTGTGAGCCCGGTCCTTCTGCTCGCAGGCCGGCGCTGTCTGCGTTTGCTGGCGACCTGCGGGGCTTGGGCTCCGCGGAGGATGGGTGAGGACGGGCTGGCCAGAGTCTCGGGCGGGCAGGAGGAGAGCTTCTCTCCCCACGCAGGGACCATCGGTTGTTGCACTCCGGTGTTTTACTTTTTGTTTTTATTGTATTTTGTTTTTCCCTCTGTCGTTTCATTGTAGTTTTGTTTTTCTTCAGAAAGGGCCTTGTTTTGTACTCTAGGTTGAGCTAGAACTCACCGTGTAGTTCAGGAGAGTTTGAGACTCACCTGGGTGTAGCCCAGGTCTGAAACTCATTTGTGTGGCGACTCGCTCGGCACTCAGTATGTAGCTCAGGCTGCCTTGGAAGTCACTACCCAGGAGGATTAGGAAATGGTCATGTAGCCCAAGCTAGCCTCCAAATTTACAGTGTTCCTCTGGCCTCAGCCTACTGAATGCACATATTAGCAGGGGGTAGTCACTACTGGGAACACGGAGGACCAATCCATTCTCTTAACTAGTCTTTTGCCTTTCTAGGACTAAGGTATGTGTTTTGAAGGAAACTGGCCTAACCTCAGAATGAAAAAATGGCTCCCTCCTTGTACACATGTTTCAAGACTTGTGGGTCTACTGAACACACCTGTAAACTCAGGTTCAATAGACCCACAAGAAATTTTAGGTTTCAAGTCCTTTGAAATTTCTTTCAGCTTCAGTGTTTAAGGCAAGCCTCAAATTATTAAAAAGTTAGGTGTGGACTGGAGAGATGGCTCAGTGGTTAAGAACACTTGCCACTTTTCCAGAGGGCTGGGGTTAGTTCCTAGCATCCACAAGCACCTGTAACACCAGCTTCAAGGGATCTAGTGTCTTTGTCCTTCATGGCTTATTGTACACACGCACATGTGCACACGCACATATATATATATATTATATATATATATGTGCAGGTACACAAGCCTACGCATAACTAAAAGTTAAAGTAAATATAAAAAAAACTCAGGCCGGTGGTGGCACACGCCTTTAATCCCAGCACTTGGGAGGCAGAGGCAGGCGGATCTCTATGAGTTCGAGGCCAGCCTGGGCTACAGAGTGAGTTCCAGGAAAGGCGCAAAGCTATGCAGAGAAACCCTGTCTTGAAAAACCAAAAAAAAAAAAAAAAAAAATCAGGGCGTTGGGCATTGTGGTATAGGCCCTTAGTCCCAATACTTGGGAGGCAGAAGCAGGTGGATTTCTGTAAGTTTGAGGCCAACCTGGTCTGAATAGTGAATTCCAGGATATCCAGAGCTAGAGAGAGCCTCATAAAACGAACAACAAACAAACAAAAAAGGATAGACATGGTGCTGTTTGGATAGTGAGACAGGAGGATTGTTGTATGTTTGAGTGTGGCCTGGTCTCCATAATGAAATCTTGTTTCAACCAAAAATAAATCAACCATTGAAATTCTTAGATTGTTAAATATGAAGTTTGCTTTTAATTATTTTTATTTTTTTAATTTTTGATTTTTATTTTTTAAGACAGAGTTTCTCCGAGTAGCTTTGGCTGTCCAGGAACTCAATCAAAGTCAAGAGATTTACCTGCCTCTGCCTCCCAAGTGCTGGGATTAAAGGCATGCACCACCATCGCCTGGCTGCTTTTAATTTTTTTTTTTTTAAAGATTTATTTATTTATTATGTATAAAGTGTTCTGCCTGCATGCATGCTTGCAGGCCAGAAGAGGGCACCAGATCTCATTACGGATGGTTGTGAGCCACCATGTGGTTGCTGGGAATTGAACCCAGGACCTCTGGAAGAACAGCCAATGCTCTTTAACTGCTGAGTCATTTCTCCAGCCCCTGCTTTTAATTCTTGAAACATCAGTGGGCATCTTTGTGTGTGGCTGCATGCATTGTTACATCTCTGTGTTGTTTTAAACTCAGGTCCTCCTCTGGATGTGTGGGACTTTTCTTCACCTTTGCTGTTGCTGTGGGTGAACAGGTTCTACATCTATCTGGGCTGTGCTCTGGGAGTCACTCTTTGGATCTGTGTCCAGGTTGTCATCAAGAAGCAGGTAATTGGGGTATCTTTTTCGCTCTCACTTTCTCCCCTTAAAACATTTTATTTTTAATTGGGTGCCTATGTGTCAGTATATGCACGTGAGTGCAGTGCCTGTGGAGGCCAGAAGAGGGCGGTGGATCTTCTGGAGTAGGAGTTGCATGTGATTGTACCTGAATATAGGTGCTGGGAACCAATCTGGGGTCCTCTGCAAGCAGAGTATATGCTTTCAGGAGTTGGTTCCTTCCTTCTATCATGTAGGTTCTAGAGATTGCTCTCTAGCCATCAGGCTTGGCCACAGGGCCTATGCTCACCTACCCTTCTAGCTCATGAGATAGAGTTCTGTTATGTATCTCTGGCTGGCCTGCTGCACACTATGTAGCCAACTCTAGGCAGTCCTCCTGCCTCCACCTCCTGACATTCCTAATGCTCATAGGAATATTAAATCACATTGTTGTTTGTCTAGATATTTTAAAATTTATTTTACATCCCGACCACAGTTTCCCTCTCTCCTCTCCTCCCATTCCCTCCCCCCACTATCTAGATTCTTTTTAATACCTTAATTTTAGAGACTATGTTATAATGGACTAAGTCAGAATCAAGATTTTTATAATGGAATTTTAATCTACAAAGAGAAATAGCTGGGTGTGCTGGTATATGCCTTTAATCCCAGCACCCGGGAGGCAGAGGCAGGTGGATCTCTGTGAGTTTGAGGCCAACCTGGTCTACACAGTGAATTCCAAAACACCCAGGGTTATGTAGAGAGACCCTGTCTCAAAAAACCCAAACCAAAACAATAAATAAATAAATATAAAGGAGAGAAAAATAAAGCTGTTTTGCACCCTTCAGGGAGTAAGAGAATCTTTCCTTATAACCACTAAACGTCAGAACATAAGAATGCACAGTTTGCCCTCCTTATCCTGGTGGTGTTCAGGATTAAACCAAAAGAATAGAAAATATTTGGCAGCTGGGCTGGGGAAATGACCCAGCTGGTCAAAGCTCTTGCCATGCAAACCTGACAACCCGAATTCAATCCCCAGAACCCACATAAAACCTGGATGTGGGCTGGAGAGAAGGCTCTGCAGTTAAGAACATGTGTTGCTCTTGCAGAGGACCCGAACTCCGTTCCCAGCATCCATGTCAGGTGACTTATAATGGTCTGTAACTCTAGTACCGGGGGATCCAACACCCTCTTCTATCCTCCATGAGCATTTGACTCACAGGTGTGCTCGCGCGCGCGCGCGCGCGCGCGCGCGCACACACACAGACACAGCCAAACTTCTTTATCAACTGTGCAGATCTCCTTATTTGCCATGTGACCTTTTCTTAGATACTGTTTCTATTCACCTCAGGAGAGAGGGCTGTGGCAGACTAAAGGAATGTTTTCATTCAAGCCGGGCTTTGTGAGCCTGTCAGTTTATTGGGGTTATTACCAGCAGCTCGAGTACCACTTGGGAATCTGTGTCACCAGCATGGGTGTCACCAGCATGGGTGATGACTGGACATCTCTGAAGGCTCCTGCACACCTTGCAGGCAGCTCCATGGGGAGCTCTTCTTCTTCCCAGCAATCGTCTGCTGCTTACATAACCATGGTGGCGGGGGAGCTTCTTGAGTCTCCTAAGTTTGTGAGGTTCATGCCTCTGTTGAGCCTCCCTGCCAGAAGGAATGTTTTAGTTTGGAGAAAGGAGTTGACAATAACATTCTCAAAACCAAACAGTGTAAAAGCTATATAACATTTTCATTGGATCAAATGTGTAAGTATCTATAGATGGTTTAAAGTCTCTGCAAGGAGCCGGGCGGTGGTGGCGCATGCCTTTAATTCCAGCACTTGGGAGGCAGAGCCAGGCGGATCTCTGAGTTTGAGGCCAGCCTGGTCTACAGAGTGAGATCAGGACAGCCACCAAAACTACACAGAGAAACCCTGTCCCCCCCCCAAAAAAAAAAACCAACCCCCCAAAAAAGTGTATCTGGGAGGATGTGTGTAAGTTCTAAGTAAATTCTATGTAAATTCTATGCCTTTTTTTTTTTTTTTTTGGTTTTTTGAGACAGGGTTTCTCTGTGTAGCTTTGCGCCTTTCCTGGAACTCACTTGGTAGTCCAGGCTGGCCTCGAACTCACAGAGATCCGCCTGGCTCTGCCTCCCGAGTGCTGGGATTAAAGGTGTGCGCCACCACCGCCCGGCTTTTTTTTTTTTTTTTAATGAGACATTTGAAGCCAGGGTGGAGGGAGCAGGTTTGTAATCTCAGTACTTTGCAGGCTGAGGCAGGATAATGATTAGTCTGAGGACAGCCTGGGCTACACAGGTAGACTGTATCTCAAAACAACAACAACCAAAAAAAAAAAAGCAAAAGGAAATTACTTGAATATTGTTGTTGGTGTGTGTGTGTGTTTGTGTGTATGTATGTATATGTGTATGTGTGTATGTGTGTGTGTGTATGTGTATATCATCTGAGTGTAACAGTTGGCTTCATCAGATCCTGTGACTGCTTGCAAGAGACCTCTGGAGATCAGGCTTGGTGACTTGATTTTCCCTTCTAGGAGGAGGGGTGGTCTGAGACCCAGCTGAGATTCTGGTCGCTTTCCCCAACCTCATTTCTCTTGGCCAGTTGTATGTAATATTGTTCTGAGTACACATAGCCTTGTGGTCTTGGAAGGTGCTGGAGTCTAGAGATTGTGGGAGGTTACCTGAGCAGAGGACTCCACCCACACAGCTGTAGAGAAGTCATCCTCCATTCTGGGCTGGGACTTTAAGGTCCCCAGGTTGGGCTTCGGTGGAATGGTTTGTTGTTGGAGTCCATGAAGGAGGGGTAGACATTGTGTACATCTCCCTAAGGGAAGAGGTCCTGTAGCTATGTGTGTCCATCTGTCCTGGAACCAGTCCTCCATAAACAGGTAGGCTACAGCTTTCCTCTGCAGGGAATGGGTATATGTAAGTTTGAAAAAGGTGGGTCCTGCCTTTTAAGGACCCAGTGAGATCACAGGGATGAGTTGAGGGGTACACCCAGAAAAATGAAGAGAATTACAGAGTCAGAGTCCGAGCTCGTTTTTATTCCTCCCAAAGTGAGGGAGAGTCTTGATGGATTCCCTTCTCTTCTTTACCTTCAAGGTCACTCGCTCCCAGCAGAAAAGTGTCCCTGGAGCTACCGGCAGCTCCCTCTCCCTTCAGAAGAAGGAGTCACACGTGTCTGGAGTGAAGATTTTCTACGGATCACAGACCGGCACTGCCAAGGTGAGGGCTTCGAACAGTGCTTCTCCTTTGGTTTCTCAGCGTTTAAAGAAAATTCCAGAAACCTCCTTTAGCGGTGAGTTTCGTCATTCTTGCAGTCTTTCTATTCTTCTCTCTGTTCCTTTCTGGAATGGTGGATGGCTTCCTTCTGTTGGATCCGGTGTCTGTAGGTCCTGAGCTCGAAGGGCCCCGAAGCCCTTGTCTGCCCCTGGAGGATGGAGATTCTGGCCTTGGGGATAGGACGTGGGCTTCAGGCACATCCAACCCTGAGACACTGTGACATGACATTGTAATCTCACATGTGAGAACTTCACAGTGAGGGAGAAAGATTGCCGAACACTGGTAATGAAGCATGTGTGAGGTTTTTTTTGGGGGTGTGGTAGGCTGCATTTATAGTTTCCTTGTGCCTGTGCCTCTTCTTTTGGTTAGAAGAGTCTGACACTAGCGAAAAGTGAATCACGATGATGGTGTTAGGGTTGGGTCCCACCTCTGGCAAGTTCGCCCATCTGTTCGATGCAGTCAGTGTGCTAAAGGCAGGGAAGGTAGATGGAATCTACCGTAACAGTAGATTCAAACTGGAGATGTGTGGGCCAGAGTCCCTTGGCTTCTCTTCGCCGATCCTCGTGTCACTTGCTTCCCTGGAATGAGGGTCACAAGTGTTGAGTGCTTTCTAGGAAAAGACTGAGTAAGGCTACCATGAGAATGAATCATTAAAAAAACAAACAAACCCAATTCAACAAAAAAAGCAAGGGCTGTTAGTTTGTGTGCTGCTAAAGAGGGTCCTACTGCCCTCTTGTGGATATTATACAGAAGAGCTGTTTGGTTTTGAGACCGTCTCAGGTGGCCTGTTCAGAATAATATTCGTTATCGTTGTTCATTTAAAAAATTATTTATTTTAGTGTGTGTATGAGCATGTATGTGGGCACACGTGTGGCGGCCAGAGGACAACTTGCAGGAGTCAGTTCTCTCCTTCCACCATGCAGGTTGGGGGTGGGGTTTAAACTCGGAGTAGCAGGTTTGGCAATAAGTGTCTTTACTCACTGAGCCCTCTCACTGGCCCCATTCAGAGCCTTAAAGTCTTTTTGTTTTTCAGACAAGCTATCTTTTGTGCCAGGAAGACCTCAAATTCTCTGTGTACCAGAGAATGACCTTTGCTGAGTAATTCTTAGGCTTTATCTTGACATATTAACCACACAATGACTCCTTTTAATTGGTGGTCATTGGTAATTAAATTCCAGTCACATGGTTGTGTTTCTGGCTGCAAGCCTCTATCCTGAAGCTGTTTAAGTGCCCTCTCTGGTGAGTCATGTCACTGGCAAGATAGTAAATTTGGGGGTTTTAGAGACTTTGTGCTTAGTAACAAGGGTCAACTGCTTATCTTTTCATATATGCTCTTGTACTGATGATGTGTAAATCTAATTAATCTTATCAGTAAAAACCAGGAGTCAGATATTGGGGTAAAAACCTGAAAGATCAAAGCAGCAGGGGAGCAGCCATCAGTGACTTCCTACCTCTTCTGTTCCTCTAATCAAAAGGGCCGAGATCCTAGCCTCACCTTACCACTTCCTGTCCCTCTCCCTACAGTCCTCCAATCCTCCAGTCCACCCTCTGACTCCAAGCAAGCTTTATTTGTCATTACACAAAGAAAGTATCACACAACATACTGACACTCTATGGATAGTGAGCATGCTCTCCCTGCCCCAGCTTGTACTCTGTCCATCCATCTGAGTATTTTCTTCCATGGTGCTCATGTATCTTCTCCTGACTCTTGTCCATCCATCCAGTAAGCCAGAAGCTTCTTCAGGACCAGGGCTCCGTCCATCTTGTTGGTCCGTGTATTGTTGCCCGGAAGTGAGGCTGGCATGTTGAGTGCCCAGTCAGTGAAGTGCCTATAGCTGACAGTTAGGGGTCATAGGGGCCATGTCTTGGGACTGCCAAACAGAAAAAAAGGAGGGTGTTTTTCTTGAGTGTCAAAACCTGCCTGGAAATTGAACTTTCCTCCAGCATTTGGTTCCTTCCTGTGCTTGGGAGAGCTGACGAGTGTGTTCCTTGGGGTTAGAGGGCAGCTGCCTCCTGGGCTCTGCCGTCTCTGCGTCTTCCTCCATGCAGTAATAACTTGTCTGTTTCCTCCCTCCTATCTCTTGCTGTAGCTGACTCCAGCCCAGAGCCTCCCTGGGTTCTGTCAGACATGACATCGCCGCCAGGACTTCCTCCTGTCTGTCAGTTAGCTTCTCGTGCCCCACCCTTCAGCTGTGTTTGTGCGCATGTACGCATGTGCATGTGGTAGCCAAAGGACAACCTGTGTAGAGGTCACGAGCATAGCAGGCTTTCTTGGACCACCAGCCCCCAAATCATGACATGGAGACTAATTATTAATTATGAATGCTCGGCCTTAGCTTAGGCTTGTTTCTAGCTAGTTTTTTTTTTTTTTTAACTTTAGTTTACCTCATCTGCATACTGTCCATCCTGCTTTCCTGCTTCCTCTGTGTCTGGCTGGCTAGTCCCCAGCTGGCTGGCCCCTGGCTGGCTGGCTGGTTTCCTTCCCTTTTCTCTCTGCCCACCAGCCCCACCTGTCCCTCCTCTGCCTACCTATTATCTGATCAGCTTTTTATTAGACCGATCAGGTGCCTCAGGCAGGCAGGGTAAAATAGCAACACATCTTTACATAATTAAACAAATGCAGCATCAAACAAAAGCAGCACATCTTTACTTAGTTAAACAAATACTCTCTTGCACAGCACACGGGATCCTTGTGCTCACAGATAAGCACTAGGGAAACTGGGAATGTTAAACAGGCAGGGTCATCTCTTCAAAGGAAGAGATGTATAACCTGCTTTCCACCCAGAAGGCTAGGAATGGATGTGGTTAATAGCCTGGTGACCTCTGTGCTGTATGTAGGGCCAGGCCACACCTGACTCCTCAGACTATTATGTGTATCCCAGACTCTTCCTCCCTAGACCCTCATCTTGAGCATTGTTTCTTAGTCAGTACAGCCCATCTTTATGGGAGGGGCCATATGCACTTTGATGAGATGTAATCATGTCTTTAAGCTTTGTTGTACATGTGGGATTGAGTTAATTATCATCAGGAAAGTTATTTTCCAAAATTGTGCTGGGCTTAAATATGGCTGAAATAAACTGCTTGGGCTCTGACTCTAGAGGTTCGAACCAGCACTGGCTGCTGAGTCATGTTGACCTGGACTTCCTTCTGGTCTCACTTGGATTGACACTCTGCTGCCACAACCCCCCCCCCCCCCAACAAACAAACAAACAAAACCTTGGATGTTCTTCAGGTGCAGTCTACCTTGTGTTTTTGAGACGGGGTCTCTTGCTGGCTTGGGAGTCTCCAAATAGGCTAGGCTGGCTGGCCAGCGAGACTCAGGGAACCACCCGTCCCTGACTTCTGGATGCTGGGATCATAAATACATACCATCATGTCTGGTTTCAGCTTTTTCTTTTCTTTTCTTTTTTTTTTTTAAAGATTTATTTATTTATTATTTATACAGCATGTATCCCTGCGGGCCAGAAGAGGGCACCAGATCTCATTACAGATGGTTGTGAGCCACCATGTGGTTGCTGGGAATTGAACTCAGGACCTCTGGAAGAGCAGACAATGCTCTTAACCTCTGAGCCATCTCTCCAGCCCCTCAGCTTTTTCTTATTTAAACATTATTTCTCTCTCTCTCTCTCTCTCTCTCTCTCTCTCTCTCTCTCTCTCTGTGTATCTATGTGTATCTATGTGTATCTATCTACATGTGCCAGAATGTACAGGTGGAGGTCAGAAGATAGACTTGGGTGTTTGTCCTCATTTTCCACCTTGTTTGAGACTGGGTCTGTGTTGTTTAAGGCTGTGGACCATGGGCCAGCTATCTTCCTAGCTTCTGGGGATTTTCCTGTCTCCAAGTCCCATCATGGAGGAGTACTGGCATTCCATTGTGTGCTCTTGTGTCTGGCTTTATATGCATCCTAGGGATTTGAACTCAGGTCCTCGTGCTTATGTGGGAAGCACCTTGCCCACTGAGCTATCTCCCTAGTCTAGCTTCATTTTAAAAAAAAAAAAATTATTGCTTTTATTCAGGGAGAGGGTGTGTGTGTATGCGTGGGTGTGTGTAGGTCAGAACAACCTGTGGGAGTTGGTTTTATCTTTCTTTTTTTTTTTGAGACAGGGTTTCTCTGTAGCTTTGGAGCCTGTCCTGGAACTCACTCTGTAGACCAGGCTGGCCTCGAACTCACAGAGATCCGCCTGGCTCTGCCTCGTGAGTGCTGGGATTAACGGCATATGCCACCACCGCCTGGCAGTTTTATCTCTCTACCTTGTTTGTCCCAGGGATCTCACCTAGGTCATCAAGCGTGGGTACAAGTGCCTTCCTTTATGCCCTGGGCCATCTCACCAGCCCCCAGCTTCTCTATTTCCTATTCTCTTCACAATTTTTCTATTCCTATTGGGCAAAATCAGTGTGGATTTAGTCCCGTACACACCTTTATAGATTGGGAATCTGACTCAGTGCCTCACCTCTGTAAGAATACCCCGTTCATGATGAACACTCGGGACAAAGTTGCTGGAGAAACATCCACCACAAGTGCTGCCATGATCCTTTGCCAGCTGGAGCAAACAGCAGCTTTCCTTATTTGGCCCTCTGCAGAGTTATTTTTCATTTTCTCCCCTCTTGTTAGGGATTTGCAGTGACTCTTGCCAAAGCAGTCACCTCTCTGGACCTGCCTGTGGCCGTTATTAATTTGAAGGAATATGATCCAGACGACAGTCTGATAGGAGAGGTTGGTAATTGTCTTTAATTTTTTTCTTCAGTTAAAACTCCCAAATTTGGGGCTGCAGAGGTGGCTCAGTGGTTAAGAACTCATGTGACTTTTGAGGAGGATCCAGGTTTGGTCCCAGCATCCACCTTGGGTGGCTTACAGCTGCCCATAATTCCAGATCCAGGGAATATGGTGCCGTCTTCTAGCCTCGTTGGGCACCTGCACTTATGTGCACATATCCACACCTATACACACAATTAAAAAAAAAAAAGACAACAAAAGACGTAAAACCCAAATTTAATTGATCACCTGTCCTGTTGGGTTATTAGAATTTCCAAAATAAATTGAATTTTCCTGCTGAGCCATTTCAACTGGAAGCTTTTCCACTATGACTCAGAAACTTTGATTTATTTGGTTTTTTTTTTTTAAAGATTTATTTATTATGTACACAGAAGAGGGCGCCAGATCTCATTACATGTAGATGGTTGTGAGCCATCATGTGGGTGCTGGGAATTGAACTCAGGACCTCTGGAAGAGCAGTCAGTGCTCTTAACCTCTGAGCCATCTCTCCAGCTCGATTTATTTGTTTTTTTGAGTCAAGTTCTTGTCCTGGCCCTCGCTTGACCTCAGACAGAGGCAAGCCTATTGTCTCTGCCTCTTGAGAGTGCTGGGATTCCTGGTGTGCCACTTTCCTCAGCTTGAGCCAGCATTAAGAAATTAACTTCACTTAGATAATTAATAACTTTTGTATTATTATTTTTTACAGATTTATTATGTCTTTTTATTTTTTGAATATCAGTATTTGCCTACCTGTCTGTCTGTAAGTGCACCATGTACATGGCTGGTGCCCGTGGAGGCCAGAAGAAGGCATTGCTGAATCCCCTGGAACTGGAGTTGTAGCTGGTTTTGATCCCCCGTGTAGGTTCTGGGACTAGAACTTGGGTCCTTTGTAAGGGCGGCAGAAGTAACCACTGAGTCACTTCTCCATCATATCTTGATATTCTTGTAATCATTCTTATTTATAATATCCTTCTGATGTAAATACTGTTTTATTTAGATCACTAGTAAAAATGTCTGTGCCTTCCTGCTCGCTACATACACGGACGGCCGCCCTACTGAGAGTGCGGAGTGGTTCTGCAAGTGGCTGGAGGAAGCGGCTAATGATTTCCGCTTTGGCAAAACTTACCTCAAAGGTCTGAGGTATGCAGTGTTTGGCTTGGGAGACTCTGCCTACCGGAGCCACTTCAACAAGGTGGGTGTGTTATAGGACCAGGTCCTTCTTTAACCAAAAGACAGACAGACAGACAAGGTCTCACACATGCTATGTGTATGAGAATGAACCTACAAACTTTGTTGCTTAAATTATTGTTATTTTTTAAATTTTACTTTATGTATTTTAACTGCCTGGATGTCTTTGTAGCACTTGTGTGCCTGGTCTCTGTGTAGGTCAGAAGGTGTTGGATAGCATGGAGCCAGAATTACAGACAAATGGGAGCCCTACCATGTGGGTGCTGGGAATTGAATGTGGGTCCTCTGGAAGGACAGCCAGTTCTCTTAACTACTGAGCCATCTTTCCAGCCCCAGTAATAATGAATTATTACATTAATATTATTCCTTTATGGCATGGCCTTGAGCATGCTAAACAAGCACCCTGCTGCTGAACCATGCTCCTAGCCCCTCACTGGGGGATCCTAGGCAGGTGCTCTTCCACTGAGCCATACCCCAGCCCCTCACTGGGGGATTCTAGGCAGGTGCTCTTCCACTGAGCCACACCCCAGCCCCTCACTGGGGCATTCTAGGCAAGTGCTCTACCACTGAGCCACACCCCCAGCCTCTCACTGGGGGATCCTAGGCAGGTGCTCTTCCACTGAGCCACACCCCAGCCCCTCACTGGGGAATTTTAGGCAGATGCTTTGGCACGCAGCTGCATTCCCAGCCAGGATGATTTTGAATTTCCCATCCTTCTGCCTTCAACTCCTCAGAGTTCTGAGAATACGGATGTGTGTGCCACCACACCTGGTTTGTGCAGTGCTGAGGACTGACCCCTGGGTCTACTGTGCACTAGGCAAGAGCTCTGTCACTGAAGTATATCCCTAGCCTTTTTATTTTGGGACAGAGTCTCATAAGTTGCTCAGGCTGGCCTTGAACTTACTTTGAGTTCAGGCAAGCCTTGAACCTGCAGATCCTCCCACCTCTGACTCCTAAGTAGCTAGGATGCCAGGCCTGTACCACCAGGCTCAACTTGGAGCTTGAAGATCATTTTGTGGTCCTGTGCTGTGCCCCTCAGCAGCCGCTCTAAGCAGGGCCCTGAGTCACTGGGTTTCTGCAGTGCAGACTGGAAGCCTGCTTTAGAGGACAGACTGGGTTTTGGTTTGTGTATTTGTGGGTTGTGGGTTTTCAGTCTCTCTCTCTCTCTTCCCTGAAGGTCAGCACGAATGTTGACAAATGGCTCTGGATGCTCGGTGCCCAGCGGGTGCTCACCCGAGGGGAGGGAGATCGCAATGCAGTTCAGAGCAAACATGGCAGCATCGAGGCCGACTTCACAGCCTGGAAGACCAAGTTCATCTCCCGGCTGCAGGCCCTGCAGAGGGGGGAGAAGAAGAAGACCTGTAGTGGGGACTGCAAGAGGGGGAAGTGTGAGTCCACCCAGCCTGGCTCAGGAGAGTCGCGCCCTCACCTGCAGGGCGAATTGTACCCCAGGGATGCGGAGGTGTGTGCTTCTGTTCCTTTCTCATTCTGTGTGTGTGTGTGTGTGTGTGTGTGTGTGTGTGTGTGAGAAAGAGAGAGAGAGAACGAGCGAGCACGTGTGCCTGTCCTCTGTGTGTCCCTGTGTGTGTTTGTGTGATTGTGTGGCTATACCTGGCTTCACCTCTGCCCTAGTTAGAAGATCTGAAACTCAGGTGCAGCTATTTCAGAGAGAGCGCAGCTTGTGACTTACACCGTGTGCTAGCCATGTGCTAGATACATGCCCCTTCCTCTCCTCCTCCTCCTCCTCCTCCTCCCCTTCCCTTCCCCTTCTCCCTCCTTCCCTCCTGCTCTTCTCCTAGTCCTTCTCTTCACCTTCCTCACCCCACCCCACCCCACCCCATCCCACCCCAGTCTGCCTCCCTCCCTCCCTCCCTCCATCCCTCCCTCCCTCCATCCTGCTCTCCTCCTCTTCCTTCTCTTTACCTTCCTCACCCCACCCCACCCCACCTCACCCCAGTCTCCCTCCCTCCCTCCCTCCCTCCCTCCCTCCTTCCCTCCTTTTTCACTCCTCCCTCTCCGTGTTCCCCTTTGTTTGACAGGGTCTGGCTCTGTAGCCCAGGCTGGCCTGGAACTTGTTATGTCGCTGAAGCTAGCCTCGGTTTCTAAGCACTGGACTTGAAACTCGGGGCATGATACTCAATCTTTTTTTTTTTTTCTACATGGAAAGTTTTATTAGTGGTGAAGGGGAAGGGAGGGAGGAGGGGGAAAGGGAGCTCAGAACTGCCACGTTGGTGGGGAGAGGGAGGGAGGAAGTATTTGTGGCACAGGATCTCAGGGCCAGGCAGTGGTGGCGCACGCCTTTAATCCCAGCACTCTGGAGGCAGAGGCAGAGGCAGGCGGATCTCTGTGAGTTTGAGGCCACTCTGGTCTAGGGAATGAGTTTCAGGGCAGCCAGCGCTACACAGAGAAATCCTGTCTTTAATAACAAAGCAAAGCAAAACAAACAAATACAAACAAGAAAGAAAGAAAAGACAAGACAGAATGTAGTCCTCACTGTTCCAGAACTAACTATGTGCACCAGGGTGGTGTGGAGTTCACTGCCACTGAGTGCTGGGGTCAAAGGTGTGCACTGCCACGGCCAGCAGTTTCCCAGTACTGTGTCAGTTGAGACCCCACTCTACCCGACCTCAGCACCTGTCCACTCTTCAGTTTCTCCATCTTCCTGCTGCTCTTCCATCTCTTCGTTACCATGGTGTGGCCACGCTGGTGTCCTTGGTGCTGAGCATAGGTGTCGAGTGATGGTGATTTTTAGCACCAGGCACCTGCTCTCTTGTTACCTGGGTTCAGCCAGCATCTTGTCTCCCCTCGTGTACTGTAGCTACTCCTGTCTGCAGCCTGTCTACTCAGTTACCTTGTGTGTTGCAGGCACACACAAGCTGGAGTGCTCTGTTTTTAGATAAGATTTTAAAATTGTGATTCCCCCGCCCCATTTTCGTGTGTGTGTGTGTGTATGTGTGTGTGTGTGTGTGTGTGTGTGTGTGTGTGTGTGTGTGTGGTGTGCATGTATGTGTATGCATGTTTTTGCATGCTTGTGGGCATGTATGTGTGTTTGGGCACACACACACATGTGTGGATGTGCATGTGGATCCAGAAATGGATGTTGGGAATCATCCTTAATCACTCCTGTACCATATTCATTGAGAAGGGTAGCTCAATCAAACCCAGAACTCAGAGAGTTACGGCTAGTAGCCAGCTTGCTCTGCACTCCAGCCAGGCTGGAGTATGGTGGGCTGTCATGCTCATCCCCCATTGATAGGGATTCCAGGGACCCGAACTCTGGTCCTCATGCTTGCACAGCAAGCCTTTAACCACCACACAGTTTCCCGAGCCTCTTTCAGCCACCCTCGAAGCCTCTGCCGTTTTCCTTCCACGGTGTGATCTTCCCACATCTCTTCCCCACCCCCACGCTTTGCTTCCCAATCTGCTAGTAATTTCTCAGTGGCTTCTTGTTGCTGTGTCCACCTCCCACCAACTAAGATGTCTTTCCCCATCCACCCTTACAGCTTTGCTTCCCTAATGATTGGTCAGTTGTTCTGTGGTGGAGGCAGCCTCCTGTGGCTACTGATTCCTAAACTCTATAGCCACAACGTGAGCACTCTGTAGTACCTGTACCCATGAGTTGCTATATTGGACTGGAGCCTTTCTGGGGAAGAATGTTTCACATTAATTTTCCGACCCCAGTGGTTTCCATGAATTGCATTTAACTTATTTTGTTTTTTAAAGGTTCATTTATTTTTTTAAATTTTATGCGTATGGGTCTTTTGCCTGCAAGTATGTCTGTGCAGCATATGCACGCAGTGCCTGTGGAGGCCAGGGGGGCGTGGGATCTCCTGGAAATGGAGTTCCAGACCGTTGTTAGTTCCCGTGTGGGTGCTGGGGACCGAACCTGCGGTCTCTTCAAGAGCAGCCAGTGCTTGCAGCGGCTGAGCCGCCTCTCCAGTCCTCTGCGGTGCTCTTTTACTGAAGACAGGTTTTACATTTTCTGAAGGTCGCAGAGCCACGTTAATGGCAGTTTTGATTAGATTTTATGTGAAGATGAAATGAGGTCCTTCGAGAGGTAGTGAATTCATTTCTGTCAAAGATGTGGTTCTGAGCATAAGTTACAGAAGAGCCCAAGATGGTCAGCTGAGTGTCTTACCAAGTAAATTGATTACTTTTGAGACAGGGTCTCAGATAGACAAGTGGCATTGATTGATGTCTAGTGCGGATGACCTTGAACTTCTGAGCCTCTGGTCCCCACCTTCAGTGTGTTGGCATTATAGGTGTGCATCACCATGTCAGGTTTGTGTGATGCTGGGGATGGAACCCAGGGCTTTGTGAATGCTCTGCAAACACTATCCACACCACCAGACTTGTTTTTTCCTTAAGGGTTTGGGGTGCCAGCTGTGCTCACTCCCTCTGTATTGGCACAGTGCAGTGGCAGAACTGTATAGCTGAGACTGGAGTTGCTTATCTTGCTGGAAGTATTCACCCTTGGCCCTTACACAGCAGTAAATTGAAGTTACTTCTCTGTATTTGCCTGCAGAGACAAGTCACAAGCACATGACACTTAACCTTAAGCTATGTTCTGAGCTGTGAGCTGTTCAGGCTGTTTCAGTGCTGGGTGGACATCACCACGTATACTAAAAGAAACAGAAGAGAGAGCGAGGGCTGTGATGTTACAGGCAATATGGGCTCATGGGGCCACTGCCATATATGGATAGCCCTTTGTTGGGTGACATTTTTTGTGACATATTACTATTTTGTCATATAGAAGCAAAGAAGACTCTGCCTGCCTCCCAGAAAAAAGTATTTCTCTCTCTCTGTGTGTGTGTGTGTGTGTGTGTGTGTGTGTGTGTGTGTGAGCTCTTGCACATGTATGGAGGTCAGATGACATCTGGTACAACTCGATCCTCTCTTTCCACCACGGAGATCCAGGAGATAGAGGCCAGGCTTTCAGGCTCTGTGGCAGGCACGGTTAGCCACTGCTCCATCTTGCTGGCCCCATCTCTGCTTTCAGTACTGAGGATTGAAGTGGCCTCAAGCCTTCTAGGAAGTGTTGTCATAGTGATCTACCCCACAGCCCACTGTTCCCACCTTCTCCCTGGCATCTTCTTCCTCTGCGCATTGTTCATTCTGTTTTCACATGGGAGGTTAGCTGAAGTGTTAGTTTTTGTCACTCTGAGTTTTTTCTTTTTAAGGTTTATTTTTGTTATGAGTGCCTGCAAGTAGGTATGTGTACTATGTGGATGCAGTGCCTGTGGAGGCCAGAAGAGGGCACCAGATACCTTAGAACTAACGTAGAGACAGTTGTGAGCTGCCATGTGGCTGCTGGTAACTGAACCTGGGTCCTCTGCAGAGCAGTCAGAGCCCTTAACCGCTGAGCTGTCTCTCCAGGCCCACTCTGTGATGCCTTTTCACAGGAATCACTCAGATGCCAGAGATCTAAGATGATTTATACTTTTAAAAATTAATACTGTAAAGGTGGGGCTAACAAGATGCCTCAACAGGTAAAGGCACTTGTCACTAAGCTTGATGACCTAAGTCCCATCCCTGAACCCACAAAGAGGAAAAAGATGATGGATTTCACAAGCACACTGTGATATTTGTGTACACACACACACACACACACACACACACACACACACACACACACACACGATAAATGATAATTAAAAAAAAAAAAAAAAGCAGGGGACAAAGATCATACAAAAACACTGTAAAGGTCCTTTGAGGTGTTGCTCAGTGGCAGAGCACCTGCCCAGCATCGTGAAAGGCTGGGGTATCCATTCCCGGCAACACAAAGTCAACCAAATACAATAAAACAGTCAGGTCCCCGTGGAAGAAGGAGTAAGGGACCAGCCTTGTGTGGGGCTCTGAAATACTTGCCTTGCAGGAGGAAGAGCCCTGTGAGAGCAGCAGTGAGGAGGAGTCGGGGACCCAGGATTATCAGAGCCTGAATTCCGTGGTGGATGTCGAGGACCTGGGCAACATCATGAACCCCATGAAGAAGGAAAAGGTACTGCTGTTTGGGGGATACCGCAGTCGGAGCCTGTAGTTCATTCAACTCTTAGAATCTGTCACAGTATGGTTCTGGTTTGAAGGGGGAAGGCAGTTTAATTTCTCTTATCTGCTACCTGGAAGGGTTTCTGTTTTTGTTGTTGTTTGTCTTACATTTTTTTTTCTATATTTACATGAATATGACATTTATTCATGTATGTGTTTTGTGTGTTATATGTGTGTCAGGACACACATGCCACAGTCAGAGGACAACTTCTGTGAAGGTTCTCTCCTTCTACTCTGTGGATCCCCATGATAGGACTCAAGTCGTTCGTCAGGCTTGGTGGCAAGCATCTTTACCTGCTGACCCATCTCAGTAAGCCTTGCATGAACTTTGCTAAATTCTTCTCATTCGGTACCATGGTAACAGGCTCCTGGAGGACCAGCAGATGAGTAGGGCGACTAATTCAGAGATGGCGTTCAGGGCCGTGGACGATGAACGTCTTTGAGGATTTGGTTTTTGACACAGGGTTTCTCTGTGTAGCCTTGGCTGTCCTGAAACTCTCTATAGACCAGGCTGGCCTTGAACTCAGGGATTGTCCTGCCTCTGCCTCCCAAGTGCTGGGATCAAAGGTGTGCACCACCACTGCCCAGCTGGGAGTATTCTTTATTGTTTAGATTTCAGACGGAGTCGGACTTAGTGTTGTGTCCGTGTCGTCACAGACAGTCAGACTTAGTGGTGTGTGCATGTCATCACAGACGGAGTCAGACTTAGTGGTGTGTACATGTTATCACAGTCACTTGAGTCACCTCTGGTCCCGAGTCCAGTTCTTCTTTTGTTGGTGTTTTAAGATAACTCAGGTTGGCCTCAATTTCTCTGTGCAGCTGAGGATGACTTTGAACTCCTGTCCAGTGTGGGGGTTACAGGTGTGTGCGCTATCACACCTGGATTATGCAGTACTTGAGCTGTACCTGGGGCGTCCTGCATGCTCGACATGCCACCAACTGAGCCGCACCCCAGCCTCTTTCTGACATGAGTGCTTTTACAGTCCTATTTCCAAATCAATCAAACTGTGTTACAGTGAAAGTAATTTTTGGCTTTGGACTAGAAATGTAATTTTCTTTATTGAAACAATCTTACAATGGAAAATGAAATGGCAGATTTATATATAGAATCCCGGAATTTCTACCTAGCTAAACCTTCCTTAAAGCTTTGCCTCGTGAGGTCAGGACGACCGTTTTTTTTTTTCTTTGCGTTCTAGTGGCCAGTAGAGGTCGCTAGAGAATGCAGTAATGAAAACCATCCTTGTCATTATTTTTGGAAATGAAATGATGTTGGACCTTGAAGCTGTCAGCTTGTAGTATTTAGTTCTCTCATAAAAACCATCAAATGGAGGGGTCTGTGTGTGTTTTCCATCTTTAGTAAGACCTGAAAATAAGTCACTTTTTTTTCTTCATTTTATGTATATGTGTTTGCATGTGTGTATTTAATTTATTGTGTTGCTGTGGGTTGACCCTGGGGGCCATTGGGTATGCCAGGCTATACTGTCAGGCTGTACTGTGCCATAGAGTTACAGCCTGAATACCTCCCCTCTTTTTGTCTTGTTTTGGCTTTTGTTCTTATTGTTTGAGAGGGAGTCAAGGGTAGCCCAGGCTGGCCTTAAACTTGGTGTGCAGCCACTGATGAGAACACACGAGGAGGTTTGTTTATGCTTTTCAGTTCCCTTGGAAGCTCCGTCAGCAGAGGCACGCTTCTCATTCGCTTTGCCCTGGGTTTCTAGTTAGGCACTTGGAGTGCTCACTCTGAGGAGAGAGCTTGATTGTGGTCGCTTTTCTCAGAGCGAGTAACAGAAGGTGGAGAAGTCAGCCTGAACGGTGTTCACTTACCTTCCGTGGGTTCGCTGCCTGTGAACCCCATCTCCCTCCTCCCTCCTTCCCTCCCCTTTCCTCCATCCCTCTCCCTTCTCCCCCTTCCTCCTCCTCCTCCCCCTTTCCTTCTCCTCCCTTCTCCCCTTTCCTCTCCCCCGTCTTCAAGCCTGCCAGCGGTAGCGTGCTCCACCGCCTCCCACTAGAAACTGCGGTTTATTTAATACTTGCACTCTGCTCCATTTTTCAAGCCTGCCAGCGGCGGTGTGCGCCTCTGCCTCCCACTAGGAACTGTACTTTATTTAATGTTTGCACTCCACCCCCTTTTCAGGGGAAGAAGTGGAGATTCAGAAAAAGTCAGTAATTTGCCAAAGTGAGGCAGTTTGTCTGTGTTTGGTTGTTAAAAATATTTGGTCTTGGGGCAGGCAGGGTGGTTCAGTGGGTAAAGATGCTCGTCATCAAGCCTGGCAGCCTGATTTTTGGTCCCTGGGATGCGCACAGAGGAGAGAAACGACCAACTCCCAAGTGTCCTCCAACTGCCCCACACCCACTCTAACTAAAGAAGTAAGTAAGTGTCATGAAAATGAAATCCTGACTTTTCAAACAAATGAACGATTGACGTGGGTTATGTTTTTATGGTTGTTTTATTTTGTTTTGTTTACTTATTGATTTATTGACCCTGGTGTTGCGTCTTCCATCATCTCTCTGGAAGCAAGACCACCTTGTGGGATGTTGGGTCTCAGCCTTGGTTGCATGGAGTCTTGCTTGTTTCCGATTCTGGTTTTCCTTTTTCAATTCAACCCAGAGAGAAAAGGCTCCACAGGAGGAGAGAGGTGGCGTGAAGAGGAACCCAGAGGGGAGCAAAGCCAGCGAAGGAAGAGCTATGATCACACCTGCTCTCCGCGAGGCCCTGACTAAGCAAGGTGAGCATCTGCCGGGACTGGGGTGCAACTGCTCCCTGGTGCACTCGGCCTGATGCCCAGGACAGGACGCAAAGCACAGGGATGTCACAGGGGACAAAGAGAAAGGCTCTGCTGCTTAGTGTGGCAGTTGGCTCACGGCGTGTTAGTCGGAGCTTAGGGCACTGCGGAGAGAAGCAGTAAAGGAGGGACGTTTATCTAGCTCAGTTCCAGATGCTTAGTCTGTGTGCTCATGTGACCTGTGTGCGTGTGGCCTGTTTCTGGGTCTGTAATGAGATAGAGCCTTGGGGCAGAAGGACTGCCTGGGAGAGATCTCAAAGCAGGAAGTAGATAGTTGGAAACAGGAAACAGCCACACCCCCAGCCACTCTTGTGACATACTTCCTCCAAACAACCCACCTTCCACAGTGCTACCACCTTATATAAACTATCCACTCCTGGAATTCCTCAGGGGGGCATTTATTTCTTCAGAGCCCTTATTTCTGATGCTCTCTGGACATAGCTAGGTGTCAGTCAGTCCAGTGTGCTGACAAGCAAGATTGACCATCACTGGGGGAATATAGAGCTGCCTGAGATACCCCTCCCACCCGGTCTCTCTCTTTCCTTATCTCTCTCTCTCTGTTTCTTGTCTTTCGAAGGCTCTCTTGTGGGTCTTGTGTATTTCAGGCTGGTCTCACACTCACTGTGAAATTGAGAATGACCTTGAAGTTCTGATCTTCCTCTGCCTCCCAAGTACTGAAATCAGAGGCATGTCCATGATACCTAGTTTTTACAGTGTTGCGGATCAAACCCTCCAGGGTCTAGTTTTTGCTGTGTGTATGTTTGGACGCCATCTGCAGAGGCCAGGAGGCTTTAGATACTCTGGAACTCACTGGAGTTAGAGATGGTTGGGATCATCGTGTGGGTACTGAGACTTGAGCATGGGTCCTCTGGGAGAGAAGCCAGTGCTCTTAACCCATATGAATCATCTCTCCAGACCGTACTTGAGTCTTATTACATTTCTTAAGTTGTTATTTGGTGTATGTCCCCTCCTTGCTCCTCAGGGACTGTGAGACATGTCTTCTAACATGCTACTTGCATTTGACCATTGTTCATTTGATCATTGATGTTTCTATTTGTCAACTTCTTTGTTTCCTGTCTCACATTTCAGTTTAGCGTCTGTCATTACATGATTACATTTGCAGATTTGGCAAATCTCTTCCTTCCTTCCTTTCTTCCTTTTCTTTCTTTCCTTTTTCAATAGTTACTTTTTATTGCCGTGAAGTGATACCATGACCAAGGCAGCTTATATAAGAAAGAGTTTATTGGGCTTACAGTTTCAGAGTGGAGTCCATAACTATCATGGTGGGTAGCATGGCAGCAGGCAGGCAGTCATGGTGCTGCAGCAGTAGCCGAGAGCTTACATCCTGATTCACAAATAGGAGTCAGGCAGAGCTAACTGGGAATGGTGAAGGCTTCTGAAACCTCCAAGCCCACCCGCAGTGATACACCACCTCCAACAAGGCTACACCTTCTAATTCTTCCCAAACAGTTCCACTAACTGGGGACCAAGCATTTGAATATGTGAGTCTATGGGGGCCACTCTTGTTTAAACTACTACATACCACTCCCTGACCCCCAGAGGCTTGTGGCCATATCATAATGCAAAATGCATTAAGTCCATCTTCAAAAGACCCCATTGCCTTTTACAGTATGCCCAACTTTAGAGAGTCCAGTCTCCACCATCTGGATTTCAGGGAGTAAACTCAGGCCTGGCAGCAAATGCCTTTACCTACTGAGCCATCTTGCTGGCCTAACCCAAAGGACTCTTGAGTCAGAGTACCACAGAGATTCCTGCACAAGCGTATTTACTGTAGTCCTGTAGCCAAAGGGCTACAGTTGCCAGCTAGCCAAGATGCAGATGGAGCCTGACTAGGGGTCAACAGATGAATGGGGAAGGAAAGTATCCATACACATTTTGTTGAACTTTAAAAAAGAACAAAAATATTTTTGTAGGAAAATTGATACTGGAGATCATTATAGTAAGCCAGGCTCCGAAAGGCAATGACATTTTCCTCTCATATATGGGCTCTACATTTTATATGGATATACAGAATCATTTATGTGAGCCTTTACAGGATATTTCTCTTTCAAACTGCCACGTGTACTCTGTAGTTGTTTAGTACAGTGTGTTCTTGGGCAGGGTCCTAGTCAACTTTAACTGTCAATTTGACACAGCCTAGAGTCACCTAAGAAGGAAGTCTCAATTGCAAACTTGTGTAGATCAGGTTGGCCCGTGGGCACGTCTGCAGGGAATCATCTTGATTGTTAATTGATGTGGGAGGGCCCAGCCCACTGTGGGTGGCACCATTCCTTGAGCATGTGGTCCTGGACTGGGTCCAAAAGTTAACTGAGCAGCAGCCTGCACGTAACAGGAAGGAGAGCAGGCCAGCCAGGTGTGTTTGTTACTCTGCTCAGTGCCTCCGGCTTTATTACTGAGATTGGCCTCCAGGACTGCTGTGCTCCTGGGAGCCAAAAGCCTCCCCACGTGCATTGGATTAGTTTATTGTTTGGGCCTCTGTCATTAGATACATATACATTTTATTTATGTTATATGTGTATACATTGAATTTGTATGTATATGTATCTAATGACAGAGGCTAGGCTCTTACTATGTAACCCTGGCTGGCCGGAAACTAACTATGTAGACCAGGCTGGCCTCCAGATCTCCTTGCTTTACCTCCTGAGTGCTGGGATTAAAGGCACATGCTACCACACCCAGCATTTTTTTTTTTTTTTTTTGAGACCGGATCTCATGGTTTGGCCTCACAGTGACCTTGAACTCCTTCCTCCAGGTCCTGAGACTACCGTCGTGCCTCACTATGGCTAGATTTTTAACAGTTTCTCATGGTTGTCAGGCTGGTGGCTCACAGCCCACCATCTCAGCACTTTCCGGAGGCCGATGTAGGAGGACTGGGGCTATCAGTGAGGCCCAGTCACAAAAGAAATTGTAGCAACAAACCCCAAAAGAGCGTCTCATCTCAGCAGATTCAACTCCGCTGTTTCTGCAGCAGCATTGTTGAGTGTTGTAACTGAGCGAGGAGACGTGGTGCTGCTGAGGTTCACTGTCACCTGGACCTGAGCCTTTGGCTTCATTTCTCTTCCCTTCCCTGGTTTTCCACGTAGGGTACCAGTTGATTGGCAGCCACTCCGGTGTGAAGCTTTGCAGATGGACAAAGGTATTTATTGGCTTTATTCAAATCTTACTGCTATTTTCTGAAACTTCTTATATTTCCATTTCCATTTATTCTGTGTATATGTGTGTGCACACGCGGGGGGCAGAGCACGTCTTACAGGAATTGCTTTTCTCCTTCACCCTTGTGGGCTCTGGGGACGGAACTCAGGCCTTCAGCTTGGCAGCAGGGCCTTGACCCTCTGAGCCATGTCACTGGCTCCCTCGAGCTTCTCAGCAGCGTTGCTGAGATGTACTTTGTAAGCAGTGTAACACCCTCAGTTTAGTGCTTTTGTAGGACTCTTAGAGCCACCGGCACAGGCTAACTAGGATGTTCCTTTCACCTCTGAAAGAAAGGCCGCAGCCGGCAGCAGTCAGTCTCCATTCTGGAGTCTCCCTCCAGCTCCTTCGAGCTGTTGACCGGCCTTCTGTCTCCACATTAAGTGGCTGACTAGACATTCAGATGACTGGAATTGTAGGTGTGGCCCAGCATGCCTGCTGTCTGTCACTTGGTGTGACTTTTTTTGTGGCACATCGTGAGTCCCTGAGGACGTTGTATACCACACCCTGTCTATTGGTTGAGCAGTTGACGGACGGCACTCAGGTTCCTTGTATGTTTTGGATGTTGTGAGTGATGCTACTAGGGACGTCACTCCATGTACAGGATTTTGTGTGGTGTACACACTTCCAAGTGTCATTGGCGGATCATGGTAATTTAAAGAGAACTTTTTTCAGTGAACTGTCTTTTTCAAAGTGGTTGTATCATTTTGTATCCTACCAGCAGTGTATGAGGGTCCTGTTCCCTCACCACTTTCCGCAGTCCCCGGAACCCTGTCACAGGGTCTGTCTGTCTGTGACCCAGGCTGGTCTCAAATTCAGGATTCTCTTGCCTCAGCCTCTTGATTGATTTATTTACTTTGAGACAGGGTCGTGGGTAGCCCATGCTGGCCTCAAACTCTCTTGAACTCCTGATTCTCCTTCCCCTCCCTCCCAAATGCTGAGATTATATGTGCAGTACCACTCCTGGTTTGTCTGGTCCTGGGACTTGAACCCAGGGCCTCATAAGCACGGGGTAAGTGCCGAGTAAGCACTCTACCCACTAAACTACACCCTGAAGAAGCTATTTAATTCTAACTTGTTCCTTTCCCTCTTATTTAAGGTACAACTATTCCAAGAGATTTTTCCTCTGATATTTTGTTATTTCCCCTGCTTTTGGTGATGGCATGCTCAGCCCAGCAAATTAGTTAATGAATTCCACATGTTGCATTCCCCACATTTCTTTTTTTCCAGTCCAGTGATTTTCAACAATGTCGGACTCAGTGCCTTCTGTGCACAGCCAGTAATGTGCAGGGCCCCTTTTACCATTGCTAAATTCAATTTTCAGATAGTAAATCACATGCATAATTTTGAAAATTGGTGTTTCAGCCAATCTGTAATGAAATGAAAGAGGAAGCACTTTATGTTAAATGTGTATTTCCGTGCAAAAAATGCCGTGATGCTTCCGTGGTAGATGCTCGGTGAGGGGCCAGCGGCTGTGTCTGGATCTGTTGCTCCTCCTCTTCCTCCTTGTCCTCCTCTTCCTCCTCTTCCTCTTGCACCTCCTCCCCTTCTTCCCTTTTTGTCTCCTCCTCTCTGTTTCTCCCTGCTCGTCCTCCTCCCGCTCCCCCTCCTCCTCCTTGTGTGTGGTACCGAGCATCAAACCAAGGGCCTTGCATGTGCTAGGCAAGCATTTTATCACATCTACAGCCTTCTACTTAAGTGGCCACAGTTAAATTTGAGAAAGAGTTGAAATCTGCCCCGGAAGCAGTGAAGAGCCAGGCCTGTTTATATCTGGTGAGACAAAGGAAGAAGCAGCCCGTACTTCCTTAGGTAGGGCTGAGAAGCCCAGGGATTATGTCCCAGTGGGGAAGGTGAGGAAGGAGGCTGTACTCAGCAAGGACTCAGGCCTCATTTATAAATTGGAGTTGGTGTAGAGTCCTGTGATGACACTTGGTGGGGGGTTGGGATGGATTGACACAGAAAGTAGACCTTTTTTTGTTTGTTTGTTTTTTTGTTTTTTTTTTTTCGAGACAGGGTTTCTCTGTAGCTTTGCGCCTTTCCTGGAACTCACTTGGTAGTCCAGGCTGGCCTCGAACTCACAGCGATCTACCTAGCTCTGCCTCCTGAGTGCTGGGATTAAAGGTGTGCGCCACCACTGCCCGGCGAAAGTAGACCTTTTTTTTTTTTTGAAGTCCCATGACTAGCTAAGGCCTGCATTTTATTTCTTATTTTATTTTAATTTCTAGTGTGTGTGTAGTACCCTCAGTGGCCAGAAGAGGGCATCAAGTCCTCAGGGGCTGGATTACAGGTAGTTGCGAGTTGCCTCTTGTGGGTGCTGGGAACTGAACCTGGGACTTCTGCAGGAGCACCATGTGGTCTTAACTACTAGTTATCTCTCCAGCCCTGTTTCTAATTTGTAATAAGACTTTGGAGATGGTCTTCTTTAAGCTATTCCTACTGGAATAGGCGATGTATTGAAAACAGGAATAATTGCCGTAGAAGAGCTAGTCTAAGGTGGCTGGCAGACCTGTGGTGACAGATTCAGGGTAAGTGATAGGCAACCTCAAACAATTTTAACATGTGAGTATTACAGGTTAGATTATTATTCATTCATTCATTTTATTCATGGGAATTACTAACAAGATATGCGATGTCAGCAGTAATTTTTAGAACAGCTTACGTTAATGAGAATTCTACTGGCAGTTTTTCTTCATTTCATTTCTTGACTATTTTGGATACAGGGTCTTACTGTGTAGCCCAGGCTGACTTTGAACTTCTGATCCCACTGAGTCCTGGGATTATAGGTGCACACCACCACATCTGGCCAGGTTAACCTTGAAGTCCAGCTGCATGTGAGCTGTCTTGCTTGAAGCTTCCCCGTGACTCTGGAGCTGATAGTGGGGATTTGTGCTGGAGTCTCTTCTGTCCCTGTCCACCAGTGGCTTGTTCTTCTAGCTTTGCGGCTCTGCTCTCCAATTAGCAATTATGCAGCTCTTGCTTGGGACAACAGCTGGCAGCCACCACCCCATCTCTTTTTGTCATTCCCATGTCTGTTCATGAACAAATACTCCCAAGGCCTGGCAGGATGGCTCAGTGTATAAGGATGTTTGCCACCAATCTGACTGGTTGAGTCAATAACCATGACCCATATGGTGGGAGAGAGAACCAAGTTTGACAGGTCCTCCTGTGTACACAAGACCACGATGATAGTTTTTCAATAAAACATTTTGTGATGTAGCCCAGTGGGAAAGCTGCAAATCAGTAAGTCCGTGGGGCTGTGGGTGTGGCTCAGTTAGCAGAGTGCTTGACCAGCATGCCTGAAGCCTTGAGTTCCTTCATTCCCAGCACTGGGTAAACTGGTGTGGTGATGTACCCTTGTAACCCCAGTATCCTTAGATGACGTGGTCAAGATCATCCTTGGCTCCATAGAGAGTGTGAAACCTTCCTGTTATACTTGAGACCCTGTCTCAAACAAACAAAGTTCTCGTGTTGACTTCCTGGAGGACAGGATAAGCAAGGAGAGATGTGAAGCCCAGCCAGCAGCAGCTGTCACAAACCTGAGTGAAGTCTTAGATAGTGGCACAGCTTAATTCTCTTGAACACAGTGTGTGAATGAATGAGTGACCCCAGTCTCTAATTTAGGTATCAGTTTCATATGAAGTCAGAGATTGAGACCCTGTGCTAGGTGGCAGGTCCCTGAACTGGGTGCCACTAATTAGTTGTGGTACAGGGTCATGGATTGCTGCTCGTTTAGAGAATATGAGTTCTCTGTAGTGGGGAAGTCAGTCACAATGACAGACAATAGAGCTGAGACTGTTGAGAGCCCTGAGCCAAAGCAGCGCTTGGGGTCTAGAGAGGGATGAAGATGAGGTTACCGAGAGAAGCAGTGATCTGCCACCGTCTTCTGAATTTCCACATTCAGAGTTGTGAGCCTGTGAGATCAGGGACCTGGCTGCTATCACAGAACATGCCAGTAAGGGCTTGGGCATCATCTTCTGGGACAGTTTGGGACTCTTTAGCCAGAGAAGCATAGCTTTGAGGTATTCTGGGGAAGGGGGTGGTTAAGAGGAGCGCAGCTCTCTGGGTTGGGACGCCAGAACTGGGGGGCATCACAGAAGCAGGACGTCTCATGTCCTTCACCTGAAAGGAGATGGCGACAGAGGCCAGCGCTAGCTGCCTCAGCTTCACAGTTGAGCCTCGTTAGGCTCAACTCCTTCCTGGCGTGAAGGCGAGTCGCTCCAGCTGAGTTGGGCAGGCCCAGTTCTCCTGACAAAGGACGCTGAGATTCCCACTAACAACAGATAGGGCATGTGCTCTTCCGTCTAGCTGGGCCTGAGTTCCCACTCTGTCTGCAGACATCAGTAGATCAAGTGGCAGTGAGAAGAGACCATTCCCCCATGAAGTACCTAGCCTGAGATGTGCTCTCCTTCCCTGCGGGCCTGACGCTTGCAAGGTGATGCCACTGTAGTGTCCAGTCAGGGCAGCCCCTTTGTCCTTGGGAGGCTGAGAGTCTCCTCTCTGCAGAGTGTTCAGGCCAGAGGAAGCCTTGCCACAGAAGAGCCCAGGCTGAGAAGTCTACTGGCCTGAAACGCCTGTCTTCCAGTGAGCCAGCTGGGGAAACCCTGTTCCCTCAACAACAGTAGGGGCCAGCAGGGCCCAGCAGGGGCCAGCAGGGGCCAGCAGGGCCAGCAGGGAGCAGCAGGGGCCAGCAGGGACCAGCAGGGGCCAGCAGGGACCAGCAGGGACCAGCAGGGGCCAGCAGGGGCCAGCAGGGGCCAGCAGGGACCAGCAGGGACCAGCAGGGACCAGCAGGGGTCATGCAAGATGAAGTCCTCTGTAAAGGCTAGGGAAGTTGAGTTCCCGGGGAAAGCACAGCACAGGACCTGTCTTCTGGCTCAGTGAAGTAACTCCTTGCCAAAGTGAAAGAAGGGTCTAGAACAGTGGTTCTCAACCTTCCTAGCTATGACCCTTTAATACAGTTCCTCATGTCGTGGTGACCCCTAACCATAGAATTATATTCATTGCTACTTCATAACTGTAATTTTGTTACTGTTAATGAATGGTGATGTAAATAGCTGATATGCAGGATGTCTGTTAGGCAACCTCTGTGAAAGGGTCATTTGATGCCCCCCCCCCCCCCCCGCTCAGGGGTCGAGACCCACTGGTTGAGAACCACTGGTCTAGCATCTCTTCACTGACAGAATGCCCAGGACGATACAGAAAAATCACCTGTCACAGCAAGGACTGAGGAAGTTATAACTTGGATAACAAAAGATAACCACTGCTGTCAGCAGCAGCTGAGTCAATGGATGGGACGGGCTGAAACAGCTACAGCAATCAGCTATCAGTGATCGTCAAACAAATGAAAGAGGAACATAGCCCAGCGAAGAGCAAGGCTAAAAAAACAACCGAGAAGGCCCAGTACAACAGGGAAGCAGAGTAACAGATGAAACAGCTTCCTGAGGGCTCAGCAGTCAAGCGGGGGTGGCAGGTTGTGTACTGTGACCTCAGCAGATCAATGGGACAGTTTGCACTCAGGACCAGTCAATAGGATTTACCCCGTCTGGACCACAGAGATCAAAGTAGAGTAGACACGAAGCAAACAAAATGGGAAGTGGAGCCTCGGAGATTTGTGGACTAATGAGATACTCAGTCAACATGTACGCCATTGGAGGAGCAGGATAAAAATGAGACAGAGTGGAACTGAAGGAGCGTGGTCACGTATGCTGTCAGTGGGGACACACTGGGAAAAGCACAAACAAGACTTACTACACTTGGTGTGGGTGTGTGTGCGCGCGCGTGCTCTCGCGTGCATGCCACAGCACACGGTGGAGGTCAGAGGACAACTTGGAAGTGTTGGTTCCCATCCTACCCTGTGGGTCACAGGGAGCAAACTCAGGTCCTGTAGTTCTGCTCTTACCTACTGAGCCATCTCACCGTACAGTGTCGTCTTAAAAATGATGTATTTGGGCTGACGAGACAGCTCAGAGGGTAAAGGTCAGCTCAGAGGGTAAAGGTCTTGCTGTGACCTGAGTTCAGTCTCTGGGACCCACATGAAGTTAGAAGAAAGAGTCAGTTCCATGAAGTTGTCTTTGGACCTTCGCATGCCTTGGCACGCCTGAGCCTGCACTCATACATCTCACACACATACATGGTAATAATAAGTAAGAAAACTAAAGCATGCAAACAAACAGTGCCTCGCTGTTGAGTTTCTCTTACTTTCTTCAAATGATGACCTGTTTCCTGCTTGTCACAGTCAATGCTGCGGGGGAGAGGAGGTTGCTACAAACACACATTCTACGGCATCGAGAGCCATCGCTGCATGGAAGCCACCCCGAGCTTGGCGTGTGCAAATAAATGTGTCTTCTGTTGGCGGTAAGTGGAGATGCACAGAGTGGGGACCGGAGGCTGGGCACTGCCCTGGGCATGTTGGACTCAACATTAGGGCTTTGCTGTGGATCAGTCTCCAGTAAATTATTATTATTATTATTTTATAATTTTTTTTATTCTTTCCTTTAGATACCAACCCCTGTTCCCACTCCTCCCTCCCCTTCTCCTGCCCCTCCCCACCTAAATTCTTAAGAAGCATATCAACCACATAGTCCATGAGTGAGTTAACTGAATTAGTATTTAAAAATTGTAAGTAGGAGGCTGGAGAAGGGCTCAGTGGTTAAGAGCACTTGCTGCTCTTACAGAGGACTGAGTTTTGCTCCCAACTATCACATCAGGCAGTTCACAATTGCCTGGAACTCCAGCTCTAGGGAGATCTCACGCTCTCTTCTGCCCTTCGGAGTCACCTGCACATTTATGTAACCACACAGATACACACAGAAAACGAAAATCGTAAGTGGAAGAAATGAGGCCCACGTGTTTTGCAAACTCTAAAGAACACTGAAGAAAAAAGAAATTGCCAGAGAATAAGAAATGCTGTGGGTGTGGTTCAGTTGGTAGAGCGAGTGTCTCTCGTGCACGGAGCCCTGGCTGCCATTCCCAACAGTGCATAAACCCCGTACGGTGGTCACACCATAATTCTAGCACTGCAATTATGGGGGCTGGAGGAGCAGAGGCTCAAGGCACTCCTCTCCATGGGAATTGGAGGCCAGCCGGGGCTACATGGGAATCTGTCTCAAACCAGAGACTGGAGTACAGAAAGAGAAGCCATACCCACTCTTCTCGAGAAACTCAAGAGTGCTTGGTGTAGGTTGTCCTTTCTAAACCTTGAGTGCTTCTGCTCTCCTCTTGTGGGTTAGGGATGGTCAGTTTTCTCTGGGAATGTGCTGGCCACAGGTCACCTTACCCTTGTGTCTGTATTCAGTTAGCTTGACTAGAAGAGGAGAGAGGAGCTGGAGGTGGCTTAGCAATTAGAAGCATGCATTCCTTTTTCAGAGGACCAGTGTTTGGTTTTCTGCGCCCATGTCGGGCCGTTCACAGCCACCTGTAACTCCAGCTCCAGGGGATCTGATGTCCTCTTCTAGGCTCCTTGGGTACTTCAAAATAGGTGCACATACACCCACAGACATAACTATAAATAAGTAATCAGAGTCAGGTTAGTGTGTTTGGTCTACCTATACCTGAAGTTGACTCTGAGCCAAGAACCGAGTAGGATGCTGAGTGGCCTTTTTCTTCATCTCTGCCGTGTGCCATGATTCAGGGAGAATCCATGAACAGTGGAACTTTTATCGGGACACCAACTCTGGCTTTGTGTTGGATGAGCTGGTCACAGCAGATTCGATGTGATGTCACAACAGGGGGCCTTAGCACGCTGCATTGTGTTTACAGGCACCACACCAATCCTGTGGGCACTGAATGGCGGTGGAAGATGGACCAGCCAGAACTGATCTTGAAGGAAGCCATTGAGAACCATCAGAACATGATTAAACAGTTCAAAGGTATTTGCCTGCTTGTTTGTTTTTTTTTTTTTTTTTTTTTTTTTGGTTTTTCGAGACAGGGTTTCTCTGTGTAGCTTTGCACCTTTCCTGGAACTCACTTGGTAGCCCAGGCTGGCCTCGAACTCACAGAGATCCGCCTGGCTCTGCCTCCCGAGTGCTGGGATTAAAGGCGTGCGCCACCAACGCCCGGCTTGTTTGTTTATTTTATTTTAAGACAGTCTTACTCATCTTAGGCTGGCCTTGAACTTGCTATGTGGTGGCGGATGACCTTGGACTTCTGATCCTCCTGCCTCTGTCTCCAGAGTGCTGGGATTACAGGTGTATATCACCACATTTGGTTTTATCCTGTGCTGAGGACGGAAGCCAGGGCCTCATACATGCTAGGCAAACATTCCACCACCCCAGCCACATCCTCTCTGAAAAGGAATGCTAGTACCTGTCAGCACAGCCTGGGTCACAGTGACGGAAGAGTGGCCTCTCTTCTTCTTTCAGTGGGATTTTTGTCTGTACCGTATGGGGCTCTCTGCAAACACCAAGGCCGGCAGAGTGGGCCGGTGAGAGATAAGGCAGTTCGGTTCAACACTCAGTAACCGGAGTTGTTTTAAACTTGGAGAGTCTGACCCTGAGTAGTTTATTTTAGGTGTATTTAAGCACAGCACGATTTGGAAAGACGTTTCCTGGTGATAATGGACTCAGTCCCATGTGCACAACAGAGCTTAAGACATGACTGTATGGAACTCTTAGTAAGGTACAAGTGACTCTTGCGTAACGATGGGTTCGGGAGAGTAACTGAGGAAACAGGCGTAAGATAAACAAGCTCGTGTCGGGGTCTGGGTTGGGGGAATCTGCTGTGGCCTGGCCACAAGGTAACGCAAATAGTCACCGGGTTGTTAACCTCACCTGTTCCCAGCCTGCTGGGTGGAAAGCAGGTAATACATCTCTCCCTGTGAAGACACAACCCCGTGTGTTTAACAGTCCTGGTTCCCTAGTGCTTACATGTGAGCACAAGGACATACATGTCCCCACAGTACTGTAAATCTCCCTGTGTGGAAAACCATGAAAGAAGTAATCAACCAACCTACCTACCCACCCACCCACTCACCCACCCACCCACCCACCCATCCATCCATCCATCCATCCATCCATCCATCCATCCATCTATCCTTCTGGGCCCTTGTAGCTTTTGTATTTCCATTAGGTAAAGGAATTAAGAAATTCCAGCCACAGCTTAGCCCTTATGAGGTGTGCTGGAAGTTTCTCTTGGAGTCAGCTTGCCATCGTCCTGAAAGCCATTGCTTTGCTTGGTGAGCGCGAGCTGGCTGTGTGAACTGACCTGATACTTCAGTCTGTGGAGAATTCGTAGGTATGGTTGGTCCTGGGGCTAGAGAGATGGGCTCAGCGGTTTAGAGTGTGTGCTGCTGAAGTTCTGTTCCCATCCCGGACTCCAGGTGGCTTACAACTAACTCTCCCTACACTCCAGTTCTGGGTATCTGGTGCCCTCTTCTGGCCTCTGTAGGCAGTACTACACTCACGTGCACATACCTCTTCTCCCCTGGACACACATCCATACTCATAATGAAAATAAAAATAAGGTAGATGTGGTAGCGCACATCTTTAATCCCAGCACTCAGGAGGCAGAGGCAGATGGATCTCTGAATTTAAAGGCCAGGCTGGTTTATATAGGGAGTTCTAGGCCATGTTACATAGTGAGTCTTTGCCTGAGGAAAAAAATAGTAATTACATTTAAAAAAAAAAAAAAGATATGATCAGTGAGGTGGAGTTGGCTAGGAAAGGGTTTCTTAGTGAATTCCCCAGAAGAAGTGGGGTGCTCCTAATAAAATGTCTTCCACATAGCCCACAGTGATGCAGCAGAAATTCTGCCCTTCATTTCCTAGTTTCCCAGTTCAGTTCTGCCGAATACTTAAGTCTGTTTGGCTTCGCTGGAGAGCACTGGCTCCAGACTCTACTGTGAGTCAGAACCATCTGGGGCTGCTCACACACCGACTGCTGCTCCTTCCCAGAGAGGAAGTCTAGAGCTGGAGCCTGTGAATGTACAGTTCTTTCTTTTCTTGTTCCGCTTTCTTTACTTTTCTTTCTGTTTTTGGGATGAGGGTCTTGCTGCGTAGCGCAGGCTAGCCTTGAACTGATCCTCCTGCGTCAGCCTCCTGAGTGCTCGGATGACAGGTGTGGGCCACCATGGCTAGCAAGTGTGTGCTTCTCACAGGATTCTAGAAATCTATGCTGTTGAACTTGGGTGCAGGATTGAGAGCCTGCTGTAGACAGACTGGTGGTCTTGCAGCATGATGGTTTTATACGGTGACTGTAGTGTGTACATTGGTAAGCTGTATTGTTTGAGCTCACTAAGAAGCGGACTGTCGAAGCATGCCTGGCTGCAGGTCCCCAGCTCCCGATGTTTCAGACCCAAGCATGTTTGTCTTGAAGTGTCCTCCAAGGTCCCTTGTCTGTGTATGGGCAGGTCCCCTTCTCCACACAGTTCTGTGATGGGGAGGGAAGGGAACAGTAGAACAGACTACGAGTGAAACAGTGTGTCCTTGAGGACAGCTGGGAGGTGACTCATTTCCAACAGAGGTCACTAGTGTTCACCCCAGGACATAAAAATGCTTGCAGTGGGAGAGAGAGAGAGAGAGAGAGAGAGAGAGAGAGAGAGAGAGAGAGAGAAGCTAGACTCTCCGCCACGGGGGAGAGCGTTCAATCTGGAATCCAGGCAGCTGCTTTGGCTTCCGTACTCAGTTTCTGCTGGATACCATGAGCCCCCATCCCTTCATCCATCCACATCTTGCTGTGTGTCTTTTTCTAATGGCTTGCTATCTAACTAACAAACTCATTAAAACTGAAAGTGCAGCCATTAGCATAGATCGTCCTCTGAGCTATACAGAACAGTGAATGACAGCTGTCAATCTGTGTGGTCTTGACTCCTCTAGCATCAAAGACTTCTTTATCTTTTCATATTTAGCAATAAAAAACAATAAAACCGCCGGGCGGTGGTGGCGCACGCCTTTAATCCCAGCACTCGGGAGGCAGAGGCAGGCGGATCTCTGTGAGTTCGAGGCCAGCCTGGTCTACAGAGTGAGTTCCAGGAAAAATGACTTATTTTTGTATTATGTGTATGGGTGTCCTTACCTGCATGTATGTCTGTTCACCATGTGCATGCAGTACGTGCAGAGGCCAGAAGAGGGTGTCAGACAACCTGGAATTGGAATTGTACACTCTCGTTAGCTGCAGTTAGGGGTACTGGGAACCAAACCCAGATTCTGTAAGAGCAATAAGCGCTTCTAACTACTGAGCCATCTCTCCAGCCCTGCAATTTTTAATTTAAAAAATTTTTGTTTGTATTTGTGTGTCTGTTTGTATGTGCCTATGTGAGTGTGTGTGTGTGTGTGTGTGTGTGTGTGTGTGTGTGTGTGTATGTGTGCACGTGCGCGCGCTTGTGCCATGGCGTACACGTGGAAACCGGAGGACAGCTTCTTGGAGGCAGTTCTACCTTTGCGTGGGTCGAGGGGTTTAACTGGAGGTTGCCAGGCTTGTTACCTGCTGAGCCATCTTCCTGTCCCTAGTTGTCGTTGTGAGACAGGGTCTTATCATGCAGCTCTGGCTGGCTGGAACTCACTGTGTAGATCAGCCTGGCCTCGGACTCACAGATCTGCCTGGCTCTGCCTTCTGAGTGTTGAGACTAAAGTCTGCACCAGCCTGCTTTAGTTACTTGTTTGATAAGGTCTCACTTTGTAGGCCAGGTTGCCATTGAACTCCATCCTCCTGTCTCAACTTCCCACCAAATGTTGAATTCCAGATGTGTACTGCCGTACCCAGGTTCACAGCTTGCTCTTAAATTCTAAAGATAAAACTCTAGGTCTCCTTTTGAGTGTGAAGAAGGAGGTCTGCTCTGGCCTCCCTGGGTCTGAATGGTCCCTGGAGACTGGCCTCGAAGAAGCGTGTTTCCTGTGGCACAGGCCTCTCGGGCATCACTGCTTCTCTCCCTGCCCCATAACAGCCATGGCTTCAGATACCACACCAGAAGGAAATGTGTGTTTCTCACCGCCTCGTTAGAGCAGGAGATGCACTTTCCTAAGGTCAACGAAAGGAGAAGTCGATTGGGAGACAGCATAGATTTATTGGCTGGGCATGTGTCTGTGCTGCCATTTCCCAGCAGGAGGTTGAGGCAGAAGGATGGTGAGTTTGAGACTTGCCTCATAAAACTGAAAAAGAGGTGGGCGGGAGGGGCCAGAGACAGAGAAGCCAAGAGAAGGAGCATATTAGTGTCATTTAGGCATATGCAGATTAATATGGCATTTGTATGTTGTAACCAGAAATGCTTAGACAGTTTGTTCTTCATTGTCCTCCTCCTCCTCCTCCTCCTCCTCTTCACCCCCCCACCCCCCAACCCCCCACACCCGCCTGCATCTCCATTCTTGAAACCCTCCCTTTTCCTCTCAGCAGCTATCCTGGGCACCTCCACCCCAGCCTGTCTTCCCAGCTACACTCTTAGATCAGTGCCTGTCAGCCTGGGGGTGTGACTCAGCCAGGAGAGGGCTTGCCTGGCATGTGCATGAAGCCCTGGGCTCTAGCCCTAGACCACAAAAACCAAGTGTGGTGGTGCACACTTGTAGTCCCAGCACTTGGGAAGTGGAGGCAGGAGGATCAGGAGTTCAGAGTCATCCTTGGCTAGATATCAAGTTCAAGGCCAGCCTGGGCTACATGTGGCCCTGTCTCAAAAACAAAAACTAACAGACAAATAAAGACAACCCTAACAACAACAGAAAGAATGTCCTTTATCCTGGCTTGAGGTCCTTCCCTGCCAGGAAGGCACCCACCCTTCCAGTGGGGCTGGCCCACTGCTCTCATGGTTTTGCTTTGGAGGACAGGAGGGATCATGGGTCTTGTTGCCCATTGTCCCTGGTTTTCTAACATTAGCACCCTGGCCAGCCTAGAGCCAGTTTTGAAGATAGTCTCTGATTTTTTTTCCCCAATGCTCTGTGCTCTCAGTTGAGTGGACAATCATTGTCTCTTCAGCTCCTTCACCCAGCCATCAAGACAGCTTTCTTCTCACGCCCTTTGTTACCATCTTTACACACAAGCACAATTAACCGCACATTGATCAAAAGTGGGTCAGAACTGCAGTGTAATTTAGTGTCTTCTCCCACGCTACCCTGTCCCCTGCCTGACACCACCCTGACACCGCCAGTCCCAGAGAAGGAGCCCGGGGGCACCAAGTGGCGACTGCACTGTTAAGAATGTCCTAGGTTGCCAGGATGCAAAGGAAATGGACATTTGTTGCTAGCGTTCCTGTGTGTCCTTAGAACAGACACACAAAAGGCTTGCTGAAGGCCGATCGGAAAGTGGCGTGGAGCTGGAGAGAGCATGTGCAGCTTGCTTTCCTTTTCTTTCCTTTAAGTGAATGAGTGTTTTGCTTGCTTGTATGTCTGTGTACCTACCGTGTGCATTCCTGGTGACCACTAAAGCAAGAAAACAGCATCTGATCACTCAGAACCGGAGTTGAAGAGGGTTTCGAGCTGCCATGTGGGTGCTCAGACCAAACCGGGGTTTGGTGCAGGAGCAACAATTGCTCTTACCCTCTGAGCCATCTCTCCAGCCCCTGTTTCCTGAAACTGATTTATGAAAGGGGTGTGTCGGGGAGTGGATAACAAAAAACACAAACCTGACATTGTAGAGCTGAGGAGATCGTTCAGTGCTTGTTGTGCAAGCATGAGGCCCCGAGTTCAGTCCCCACAACCCACAAAAGGAATCTGGGCATGGTGGTGTGTGCATGTAATCCCAGTGCCGGGGGAGACAGACAGATGGATCCCTGGGGTTCCCAGCTTTGCTTCCTTGGGGATCTACAGGCAGTGAGAGACCCTGTTTCAACAAGATGGCTGGTGCCTGAGGAATGAGGATGTTGTACTCTGGTCTCCACACTGAGCATACACTTGCATCAGTGCAAACATACACACACCTGACATTGTGAGGTCTCCATCAAACATGGCTGTCAGTCTCAGCAAGGTGTTTAGCCAGGACCTATATCATTATGAGAATAAAGAAGAGAATGTTTCGTTTCTGATTAGCCCTGACTTTAGATACGGAGATACTTGAGCCAGGCATGGTGAGGCTCACCTACAGTCCTGGTACTCAGGAGGCTGAGGCAGGAGGGTAGAAGGTTCCAGGACATCCTGGGCTACATAGTTTGAAGCCAGCTTGGATTTTACAGTGAGACCCCGTCCCAAGCAGCAAAAAAGAAACAAGGATGTTGTGTTCGGAGCAGTGTATCCCTGATTCGTGCTTGTGTTCATGTGGTCTGCTGTTCCGGTGTTAGGCTAAATCCTGAAGCCCCGTTTCAGTTTGCTCCTTAGTTCATCTGGTGACTGGTCTTGTGATGATTCAGGATGAGGAAGCTGCCCAGGAGGAGGGAAACGGTGCAGAAGTTGCTTAGCAACAACAAAATGAGGAAAACTCAAAAGGGTTAAGATTTTGTAAATTGGATTATGTGTGTATGCACGTGTGTGTGTGTGTGCGCGCGCATGCATTTGTGTGTACATGTGTTTGTGCATTTGTGTTGTGTGTATGCTTGCTTTGTGCTTGTGTATATTTCTCCACGTTCCGTGTGTGTGTGTGTGTGTGTGTGTGTGTGTGTGTGTGTGTGTGTGTGTGATTTCTGGAAGCTGTCCTCTCTTCTAGAACCCACATTTGCACACTGTGTGTACACTTGGCTGTCTGACAGATGGTTCAGCTTCATGACTTTGAACACTTGATGTAGTTTCCCTCTCCATGTCGCTCAGGGTTTTCTGGTTATCCTGGTGGTTTGATTGCTTCCTTTGTTCCTGTTGGTCAGAGTTCTGTCACTCAGCCCACACAATCTAAACCGTTCCTTGGGACGCCTCATTCTCCCATGCACATGTCCAGTCAGCAGAAACCCCTGCTGGTGATGCCTTCCTCATAGACTCGGCTGGAGCTCACGTCACGCCAGCCACATTCCTGGTCCCTCAACTGTCTCCATCTTGCTCCATGTCACCAGCAAGCCTTCATTTTTGCTTATTTATTCATATTTATTTATTTATTTATTTTTGTGTGTGTGTGTTGTCTCTCTCTCTCTCTCTTTTTTAGTTTCTCAAGACAGGGTTTCTCTGTTTACCCACTGTGACTGTCCTGGAACGTGTTTTGTAGACCAGGGTGGCCTTAAACTCACAGAGTTCTCACTCCACCTGCCTCTGCCTCCCGAGAGCTGGGATTATAGGCATGTGCCACCACTGCCCGCCCTCAATAGTCTCATGTAACCCAGGCTGGCCTCCCACCCACCATGTAGTTAAGGATAACCTTGAACTTGTGGTCCTTCGGCCTCCTCCTCCCAAATGCTAGGGTTACAGGTGTGTGCACCCCCAGTTCCTGATAGACAAGCACTTGGCCAGCTGAGCCCAAGCCCCAGCCCCTAACTTAATTCTTGCTCATGTTCTCCCTCTCCATTCACCATGATAACCATTAGGAGAAGAGAAGGCCGGAGCCCTGCCCAAGATCACCAAACTGGCCTCTTAATAGAGTCAGAATTTGAGCCTAGTGCCTCTGCCCAGTCCCTCAAGGTCTAGCCAGCACTTCATCGTCCCCCATTGCAAGTTGGAGGCTGATTTTGCTGTTCAGGGTAGACCCACACCCTTCCCTTCTGCTGTTCACGGGGAGTTTAAAGTTAACCAGGACTGTTAGGCTCAGTACTAGGTTGTCTTGGCAACACAGACTGAGTTTAAGGATCAAGTTTTATTTAAAACTTGGATTTATTTGAGTTAAATCTTAGATTTCAATAACGCAAGGGAAAAAAAACAACTCACCCAGAAATCCTGACAGGAAATGTTCATGCAGAGTGTCAGGAACACAAAGATGTCATCTGTCAGTTTTAGATTTTTGACCGTTCTGTGGTGGTTGGATCCTGGGCAGGGAGGGGCCATGGGGGCACTTACTTTCATGTTCATATTTCCAAGTACATTTTCTGTTCTCTGTTATGGTTGGAGTGATAGTGATATTACTCACTGACTGTGTATGTGTGTATGTGTGTGTGTGTATGTGTGGTGCATGCTTGGATGTGCATGCATGCGAGTGTTTGAGCTCATAAGCAAGAAGCCTCATTGTCTTTCCTTGGGCTCTGCCCATCCTGGTTTTTTTTCTTGTTGGTTGTTGTTGTTTTGTTTGTTTGTTCGCTTTGAGACAGGGTCTCTCAGGGGCCTGAAGCTTACCAAGTAGGTGAGACTAGCTTGGGCCTTGGGCACTCTCCTGGCTCTGTGTCCCCTGTTTCTGTTTTGTTGTGTTGAGACAGGGTCTCACTGTGTAGCTCTGGCTGTCCTAGAATGCACTATGTTGATCAGGCTGACCTTGAACTCACAGAGGTCCATCTGCCTCTGCTTCCTGAGAGCTGGGATTAAAGGTGTACACCAGCCTTTTTTTCTTTTTTCTTTTGGTCGCAGGCTGTTTTCTTTACAGGGGTCCTGAGGATCAAACTCCGGTCTTCATGCTTGCTTAGCAAACATTTTATTGACTGAGCCATCTCCCCAACTAATCATGATTAATGTGATGTTCAGTAAACTAGGGTCAAGGTGTTGTTACAATAACTAGTTCCTAGTGAGTGGGTCTCATGGGAAGAAAATTAGTCTTTTGGGACTGGGTCTTACTATGTGGACCAGGCTGGCTTTGAACTCAGATATATCTACCCGCCACTGCCTCCCGAGTGTCCTGGAAATCTTTATGTTTTTTGCATTTAGTCCTAACAGAAATTCTTTGAGGTGGGTCCTTTTCACAGTCTTTGTGTTGGATGGGTGGGTGTGAGAAGGGCAAAGCAGGAGGCTGGTGTCCTTATTCCTTTGAGACAGGGTCTCTCTCTGAACATGGAGCTAGGCTGACAGACAGCCATCTCCAGCAATCCTCCTGTGCCTCCCCCCTTTAGTGCTTAGGGTTCTAGAGGTTTGTGTGGCCATGCCCAGCTTCCTAGCCGAGTGCTGAGATCCAAACTCAGATCCTTAACGGTTGTGAAGCAAGAGCTTTTTTCCACCATGCCGTCTCTCCAGCCCCCACAATCATGTTTTAAGAAAATTAAGTTTCAGGACTGAAGAGATGGCTCAGTGGTTAAGAGCACTTGCTGCTCTTGCAGAGGACCTGGGATCAGTTTGCAGCATCCACATGACAGCTCACCATCCTTTCTTTAGCTCCAGCTCCAGGGGATCTAATGCCTTCTTCTGGTCTCCCTGGGCACTGCACCAATGTGGTACATGCAAACAGAATACCCAGACACAGAAGATGAAATAAATGTTTTTTTAAAAAGAAGAAGGGAACTAAGGGCTTTTTGTTGTTGTTATTTGGGGCCAGGGTTTCTCTGTGTAGCCCTGGCTGTCACGGAACTCACTCGGTGGCGTGCGCCATCACCACCTGGTGAGAATAGAGTTTTAAGGTGGGTGTGGTGGCTCACTCCTGTAATCTCGGCTCTGGGGAGGCTGAGACAGGAGTGTTACTGAGAGCCCAGGCTAGCCTGGGCTACAGAGTGAGCTCCTGTTCGGAAAAACAGAGAAGGATTTTCCCTCTAAGGTCAAGGCGTCATTGGTGGACGTGGAAGTGGCGCTCTCCGTGTCTATCCCCTGCTCTGACTTTGTTCTTTGCTCTGTGCTCAGGTGTGCCAGGGCTCAAGGCAGAGCGATTCGAAGAGGGGATGGAGGTCAAGCACTGTGCACTGTCGCTCGTGGGAGAGCCCATAATGTACCCAGAGATCAACCGGCTTTTGAAGCTGCTCCACCAGCATGGCATCTCCAGCTTCCTTGTTACCAACGCACAGTTCCCCGAGGAAATCAGGTGAGCTGTCTGGAGTCTCAATCTGGGTGTGGCTCTGTGCTCCTCACATAAGGTATGTGGGCTGGGTGCCTTTTCCTGCCCTTTGGAGATTCCTCCAGTGACCTGAGGATGCAGGGGCCTGTTGATCCAGACACTACATAGTTAGAAGTTTCCATCTGCATGAGTGCATGGCAGAGCTCATGAGGAAGGCCTGTCTAACTGTGCTATGCCTTGGCTGCAGGTCTCAAGCTAGGCTTTATTTCATCTATTTTCCATTAAAACCTAGTGTTCAAAGATGAACCAGTTTCAAATAATTAGGGTTTTCATTTTATTAGGCTCCATGTCCAGATATTTAAAAAATAATCAGAGACTTCCCGTTGTGTCATGTTATAAAATCATTGTGGACTGGGCTATAGTTCAGTGGTAGAGTGCTTGCCTATCTGCACAAAACAAAATAGTTGCTTTGGGCACGTGGGCAAAGTGGACCCTTCTAGACCAGTGCAGTCTCGAGTTGTCTCTTACAGACTGTAGATTTTATATTGTGAAATTCTTGGTGTGGCCATTATTTTCTCTTTGTTTCCTGTTTCATTACCAAGGAACCTCACGCCAGTTACTCAGCTGTACGTGAGCGTGGATGCTAGCACCAAAGACAGCCTGAAGAAGATTGACCGCCCACTCTTCAAAGATTTCTGGCAGCGGTTCCTAGACAGTTTGAAAGCCTTAGCCGCAAAGGTAAGACTTGTGACGTCATCCTAAAAATAAGTTAATAAGGGAAATGAACAGAGCCATGTTTACTTCATTTCTCTTTAAAATACGAGAAGATTAAAACGCTTACTTTTCTTTTGAATTTTTCTTCATCTTTTTTTAAAGATTTATGTATGTGAGTGTTTTGCCTGCATATGTACTATGTACACGCCTTGTACACCAGGAGGTCAGAAGAGGGCATTAGATCTCCTGGCCACGTGGGTGAGAGGGACTGAAGCCAGGGCCTCTACAAGAGTAACTAGTGCCCCAAACCACATCTCTTGAGAGGCCAGAGAGGGCATCGGGTAACAGGCGGTTGTGACGTCCCCTATGGATGCTGGAAGCCACACTTGGGTCCTGTGCAAGGGCAGCAAGTGCTGGTAACTGCTGAGCCCTCTCCAGCCCCACACTGTCAGGGTTAAGATGAGTTTGTATTATTGGGTGGGTGGGGAGAGTGTGATGTGTGGCTATGCGCACACACCATGGCATGAAGACAGCATGTGGGAGTCGGTTCCCTCCTTCTGCTTCATTGAGGAAGGATTTCTTATTGTTTGTGCCGTTGAGGTGTCCAGGCTAGCTCACCCGAAACTTTTGGTGATTCATGTTGTATGAGTGCTGGGATTATAGATGCCCACTGCTGCATTCAGTATGTTGATAGGGTCCTGGGATTGAATTCACTGTGGCATTTGTGTCGGGAGATTTCCCCCATTGAACAATCTTACTAGCTTCCTGGCTTACTTTCTGGCTCAGAAAATCTTCAGATTGTTGAGGAGCAAGGAGCATTACCCATGCGATTGCTCCTTACCAGGTTTCCCTTCAGTGTGTTGGCTCTATGGCATTTGGAAGAACATTTTCACAAGGTCGGTGGTGCAGTGCTCTGGATAGCAGCTTGCAGCATGCCTGCTTGGGATGTCAGCAAATAATCTTACGTACAAAACTGATTTCCAGAAATTTTTGGAATCAAGTATGTTAGCTCATGAGTGACTGTCAGTGTGAGCTCATGAGTAACTGAGTGTCAGTGTGAGTTCATGATTGACTGAGTGTCAGTGTGAGCTCATGAGTGGCTGAGTGTCAGTGTGAGCTCATGAGTGAGTGTTAGTGTGAGCTCATAAGTAATTTGAAGTCAGAACATCTTAATTTAATGTCTTGGTGCTCGGGAGATGGCTCAGTGGTTAAAAGCCTCTACTGCTTACAGAAGATGTGAGTTCAGTTCCCAGCATCTCACAACTACCTGTAGCTCTAGTTCCCGGAGATCTGATGCCCTCTTCTGGTTCCTGCAGGCACCTGCATTCATGTGCATATACACATACACAGTCATACTAGAAAGAACCTTCAAAAAAATTTTATTGTCTTCTTAGAAATAGTTGGCCCTTGTGTGTACTTTTTTTTCTTTTCATTGTGGTGCTGGGAATTGAAGCTGAGACCACACATATGCTAGGCAAGTCCTTTGTCACTGAATTTTATACCCCGGGTATTTATCTCTCTGTGAATTCAAAGCCAGCCAGGGATACATAATGAAACCCTGTCCCCCTCAAAACAAAGAACAAACAAAACCCCCAAGCCCAAAAGCAAACATTAGCTTGGAAAACTCCCGACGGTAGGGTGGTTTGATGGCCCGGTGTCCTGGGGTTATGTTACTCACTTGTGAAGGGGATGCTTGACATATATGAATGGGGCATTCTGAAGTAGTTAACATTTTGTGTTTATGTGTGCTCAGGTATACGTGTGTGTGTGTGTGTGCAGGTCAGAGGTCAACCTCAGATGTTGTCCCCCAGGTTATGTTGAGACAGTCTCTCACTGGCCCGAGACCCTAAATAATCAGAGTCTCTGTAACACTAGGGTACAAGCACATATCACAACACCCAGCTTTTTTGTGTGTTCTGGGAATCAATCTCAGGTCTTCCTGCTTGGGCAGCAAGCATTTTACAGACTGTAGGCATCTTTCCAACCCTGTGCCTACTATTTAAACAAACCAGTGTTTACACAATTCGCATGTAAACGAACATTTAATTCTTGACCTCATCTCTGACTAGGAAAGTGTTACAAGCTGAATATTGAAATTGGGAGCTAGTAAAGAGAACTATAAAGAAGTGAGTAAAGAAATGTAATGTGATCTTTCTTTTCTTTTTTGAGACAAGGTTTCTCTGTGTAGCCCTGGCTATTTTTATTTGTGTGTGTGTGTGTGTGTGTGTGTGTGTGTGTGTGTGTGTGTGTGCACGTGTGCGTGCGTGTGTGATGCTCACATGTCGGGTTGACTGCAGAGACCAGAAGAGGACATCAGATCTGGAGCTGGAATTACAGGCAGTTGTGGGCTGCCTGACATGGATGCTGGGAACTGAACTCGAGGCCTCTGCAAGTGCTCTTAACTGCTGCGCCCATCTCTTCAGCCCCACGGTGGTTAATCCTGATTGTCAGTTTGATTGGATTGAGAGACTCCTGGAGAAGGAAGAGAATGAAGTGCAGTGCACCTCTGACTGGGTCAGTGAGGTCAGATCCAGGGACAGTTGGTCCTGAGGGCTCTGATCTAACGCAAAGATTCCTCCCTTGGTGATGGCGTTGGTAGTGGTGAGAAGTAGGAGGCAGAGCCTGTTTGGAGGAATCAGGTCACAGGGTATGTGTTCTTGGGACTGTCTTGCCTAACCTTTTCTGTGTGCACACTCTGTCTGTCTGTCTGTCTCTCTCTCTGTGTGCCTCCCCCTTTCCCCAGCTTTGAGGTCACCTTCTACCATTCACATTTCTGCCACCTGGCCTGTTTATGGAGACTGTCTCGGAGCAAAGCAACCTCCCTACCAAAGTCCCCAACATAGAATAGCCATATTTTGTAATTGTTCTTTATCTTTGGGAGTTTGCTGAAATGATGATGGTGGTTTGTGTAGCACTGGAAAATTGATTCCAGAAATTTCTCCATCTTGATGAGCCAGCTGACTATAAATACACATAGCAGAGGGTGACTTTCAGGAAACAATACTTTTTTTTGGTTTGGTAAACTGTCTTTTTCTCCAAGCTAGTTGTATATTGAGGTCAACCCCGAGAAGATTGGGGCTTGAACGGCAGTGCCTACTATCCGAAAATGAGAAATGGTTTTCAAGACCTGTCTGTCTACAAGGTAATAGAGTTTTATATGCACTTTCTTTGACTTTTGGCTCACATACCATATAAAGAATATTAACATCCATATATCTTCTAAATGCCTCCCAAATCCAGGCAGCTCCCTGCAGATTCTCTGCCTGGAGGTCGTTGGTTTTCCAGTGGAACATGAGTTTAATATCCAAACTTGACTTTGCACACAGGTCTTTCAACCCAGTGTTTTAAATGAATGTTTGCAGGGGCAAAATTTATGTTTATTTTCTGTGAACTGTGTGCAAGAAATGAATGTCATTGCAGATATGGATGGTGGACCACTGGAGTCAGTTGAGTCTGGTGTGGTCAGATTACTAGGTGTCACCAAGACAGGCACTTTCTGGTTGGTGCTGGCGCAAAGGCCCTCTGCTGAACTTTATTTTTGATGTTAGGCCTGGAAGTGTTGTTTTACATGTTGCACAGGTCTATGCAATGGTTATTTCATGTACAGGAAGCTTATCTTTTAGTTTTAAGAAGTTCTTCAGAGGATTTTAGTTGATACATAATCCATTTTAATTTTTCCAGTTGATTGATTGATTGATTGATTGATTGATTGTCAGGGTCTCATGTAGTTAAGGCTGGCCTTGAACTTGCCACATACTTACCCTTATATAAGCTTGGATTTTGGGTGCATATATTGTTGTGATCATAATATGTATATGTGTGTGTGTGTGAATATATATATATATATATATATATATATATATATATATATTCTCTCTTTTTAATCAAATTGGATCATGTCGTAGTAGTTCTTGGTAAAAATGGTTTGCCTTCTAACATTTATAGATTTTTTTTTTCCTCCTGTGGTTTTTGTTTGTTTGTTTGGTTTTTTTGAGACAGGACTTCTCTGTGTGTTTGTGTGTTTGTGTTTTTCCTGATGATGGGGATTGAACTCGGCCTCACATGTGCTAAGCCTACCCTCGGCTACTGAGCTACTCCCCAGCCCCATACCTTGCATTTTAGAAGATGATGCCCTCTTAGAGGTGTGTGCAGTTCTGCGTACCCGTCCATGAACAAATGCTGATATCTCAACCACACCAACTGTCACTTCACCCAACAACTAATTACTGGGTGCTTAATGTCTAGTAAGGATAATCCTGGTCCCAGGGCAATAATCCACAAGGGAGTGGAGGCCCTTGTTCTCCTCAAGATAGAGGGGAGAGGAAGAGAGAGGGGCATTTGTAGGTTGTTTACTATCTAGCATGACTTCTTATTGGCAAGACCAAGAAAGCACCAACAAGCAGGGCTCAGGCCCTGGTATTTCAGAAACTCAACTCAGTTGTTTTTTTAACTATTTGCGCGTGCGCGTGCACGCGCATGAAAGAGAATGTATGCCATGTGAGTGCAGGTACCTGAGGAGGCCAGAAGAGGGCTTCTGGTTTCCTGGAGCTAGAGTTACAGGCAGTTGAGAGCTGCCCTATGTACATGCTGGGAACCAAACTCTGGTTCTCTGGAAAAGCAGTAAGAGCTCTTACCCACAGATAAGGCTAAAGGTTCTGAAGCTACCATTATATATATTTGTAGCACACGCCTTTAATCCCAGCACTCGGGAGGCAGACAGGCAAATATCTGTGAGTTCAAGACCAGCCTGGTCTACAAAGTGAGTTCAAGGACAGTTAGAGCTACACAGAGAAACCCTGTCTTGAAAAACACACACACACACACACACACACACACACACACACACACACACACACACACACGCAAAAATATTTGTAAAACAGTGAAAATAATCATAGTCCATGAATAACCAGATTCAAACCTGAGGGGAGTGTGGCATTTGGATTCAGATCAGCCGCACAGGGCAGATTCCAGAAAGAGAGATGTCTGAGATCAATGCCTGGGTGTAGGTGAGCAAGGGGCTT